TTTCTCTTACTCGGCCCTCGGACAAGTTTCCCCTAAAGATAGGGCAAAAAACAACTTAAAAGTGGACAGCGAGAATGATGGATATGCTCCGGATGCAGAGATGAGTGATTCAGAAACTGAGATGGCTGAGAAGAAATGCAGGCTTGGATCAAATAGCACTCTCCCTAGAAGGACAGATATTATTAGAAGAAGTATTCTTGCCTCTTGACTGAAGAGCGATACAGAACACAGCACTGGAATCAGTGAAGCCTCAGCCTGGATATAAAAAAGTAGCTACTCTGTTCTATTTATTGGTGGGACAAAGAGAGTCTTAAATTATGACTACAAGATCTACCAAGAATAAAAACATCTTCCCTGGGCTGTAGAAAGTTGTTTACGTGCACTTGAGTACGAGTATTTCTTCCACCATTCTCTTGACTGTGAGATGTGAACATTCTTGCAATTGTCTCAAAGAAATCTGAGAAAATAATACTGTTTTCCAATTGATTAATATGCTGAATGCTCATTTTAAAAGGATAAGTTAATTGGATTGTGTGGGTAGACCCTAGTTTAGGCAGATAGCACTGAAGAAGTTTTTCTTTCCCCAACCCTGAAAAGCACAAGCTGTTGATATGTAAGAGAGTAATGAATTGAATTTTGGTGCACTGCTTATCCTAATCTACATGGTCGCTCTCCTCAGGCTGTGCATAGAGTAAATCCTAGTCTCATTTTTTTGCTGTATTAGGATTCAGGGGAATTTTGGCAGCTGAAACCTTTGTTAACTCCAAATGTTTTTAGACACAAAATGTTACCAAGCAGGTAAGAAGAATGTGCATGACTGGTTAGATGGCCTAATGGGGTAAATCCAAGCTGCCCAGAATAAAAACTGTAACTGCAGCATATATACAGTGCTATTCTGAAGGGACCCAGACAAAGAATTAAGGAAAATTATCTACTTCTCTCAAATTAAGGGAAGAGGGATATCTATGTCTTAAAGTACTTGATCTTGTTTTGAAAGAAAGGTAGGTTTGTAAGCGTGCTATATTCTGCTAGCACCTGCCATGTGAAATACAAAGACAATTCAAGTGAGTGAGACTTAAATGTGTCTCTGGCAAAACAGGGTTGGCTGTCTTGTTTCTCCTACACACCCCCACCCCTCATATACACTGCTAATTGTAAATCTGTAATGGGTGAGAATTTTTACAATAGAAAAATTCTTAGCATCACATCAAACTTGGGAGAAGCAATAGCAGACAAACGAAGTTTGCCATGAAGATATGACTGTATTTCCACAGGCCAGTAGTCATCAGCCTTTCTTTATATGCACTAATAATATGTGTTGGGATATGCAAGTTTCTAACACATAAGGGTTACTTTAAATACAAAAAGAAGGATGTAATAAATATATATGTATATTTTTTGAATAAAATGGTAAGGCAATAAGATGCGAATAGTGCTTTACATTCAAGCCAATTTAACAACAAGACTTCATGATATGGATTAGATTTGGCAAAAGAGTGTTTTGATTACATCATTAAAAAACTGCAATAAGTAGAGAGAAAAAGCCATCAGCAATAATAAGTGAACAGATTATTAACCTATTTTGTGCACTCAGCAGAGTGCATTTGTGAGACACAAAGGTAGTTTTAGACAATTACAACTTTTGGGACGCAACTTGGATATAAACAATACCAGAGATAATGAGGTTACAAGAAATGTAAGGAGCAGTAGGTATTTTGTTTTGGCAACACTCCTCTCAGTCCATCATCGTTAGTTTTTACTTACTATATTTAAAGCAAATGTTGGAACCTGGCAATTTGACTCAAGTCTTCCAGAGGTTTCAACTGAAAACTAGAGTGCTACTGTTTCATCTTGCTATGCAAGTCACTGATCATCAATAATACATTGTATTTGAGGAGGTTTGCAAAATAGTTTTCTTACAGTCCTAATTTTTGGATAAAGAAATATTGTATGTGATCCCATGAATTCTAAATTACCAATCCACTGATTCTATAACTTGGGAACATGCATCAGATCGTATTCCCGTTTACTTCCAAAGCAGCAGTAGTAATCCCAAGAAAACAAAACTATGATTTGAAAATAAGCTACAAATTCAGTTTTCCCTTCATTTATCTTTCACCTCCACTTTCAGTATCTAGCTTGGTGCTAATCATAGTTTAATATATGAGTAATCGGCTTCCATTAAAATAAAAAATACAGCCTTTGAAAGGCCATTTTTTAACTTGGCCTATCAAATTCAAATATCCCTGGATGCTGTGGTTAGAACTGAATGGGAAACTGAAATGGGACTTATGCATGAACGATAAGGAGGTTGTGAAATTGATACATTTCATGAGATCATCATTTTCTGATCTTAGGCTCAATGTGTATATAATAGCTGTAGTTCCAGTGATGGCTATTGGTACACTGGAGTTCCAATGCTTTAACATAACTTTATATAGGCAGGTTTTTTTTTTTTTTTTTGCAGCTTGCTTCATTGTCAAGAAAATTATTCAGATTTAAAAGAAAGAACATTATTCCTCATCCCCCTTCCTACAGAGAGCGCTGTATTGTTAAGAGTAGTCCATGCATAGCCTTTGAGTCAGGATGGATAGAATTAACAAGCAGGTTAAGACTACGATCTAAACATTTTTAGCTACCATTTTAGAAAGCTACTGGAAAGAAGATACGGCTTTATTGCTTTTGATTGAACTACCCATATATTACAGGTATATAGCAAGGTTTGCTACTTTAAAAGCAGGCATGTTCTTGTTAAATATAAGAGGGATGTGATTAATTCATTATTCAGTACAATAAGTGTTTCAGGTGAGGTTTAAGTGAAATATTGGTTAACCTGCCCAACGGAGTTTTTCATCAAGCCATAGAAGTAAATTTGATGTTAAATAAACATCATCAATGTTATGATCAATTTTGAAAGAGGTATCAGATTACATTTGCACTATTAGGAATGTTAGCATTTGTGCAGAAAGAATGCCTTATCTGTTTTCCCCACCGTATTTAGGTTAATAAGCTTTCTGATGTTTTGATTAATGCTGAACCAAAAATTAATAACAAAAGAAGAAAAAATAGTGCGTTTCCCCTATCCGCATCTTCCAACTACAGAAGTAGGTAAAATCAGTATGACCAGTTGTTTCATACTATATATAACACTCAATACATGAAAATTTATAAATAAAACCATATTCTTTACTACCACTACATTCTTTTCATTGATAAGAAAACAATGGAGATTTCTTGTTAGTTCCACATTTTACTTATGCAGATTGCCCAAGAAATATGATTATACTTGGTGTACTACATTGAAATATAGGGTAATAAACATTTTAGTAATGTTGACTGGAATGCTGTCTGTTTGATCCTGGACACCCACACACATACGTGCCAGTCTAAACTAATGAGAGATCTCTCATATGTACAAAATCTTGATTATTTTACATAAATTGGGTAAAAAAGATCTTACTACATTTGTAAAACCTTGTACAGAGGATTTTTTCACTATGTGCCTAGCTTTGGTGTCCATTTTGCTCCAATTTGAAAACAGGTGCATGATGATAAAACAAATAGAAATAAAGTATATGTAGAGATGACTATTTTATATTACATGGCCCAATCCTGTATTTATTTTCCTCCCTTTTTGAAGTATTTATAAAGACCTAGTTGAAGATGGCTGTATTTTTTGTTAAAATATTTAGTAGAATTGTGCCTTTGTCTGTATGTGAATAAATGCTGTACATTTTGCAATACACTTAAGTGTTCTGGTCTGATATCTGTATTTATACTCATTTGACAATGTTAAATCGGTAAATCTCAGGAAATATTCAGGTTAACTCAAATTAATCAGTGATGGATTCAACATCTTTAATTGTATGTTTCCTAATATAAGTCTTAATGGAATGATGGCATATATAACACTTGTGTATTTGTGGCTTTAAACCACTACAGAGGATTTCCCTTTTTCTACTCTTACATTCTCCTTTATCTATTAGCATATCTAACTGCTTTGAATAGCATGCCATTTCTTCCATCTGTTTCATTTCTCACTTCCCTTCTGTAATATTGAATGATTCATTGGTGACTGATGTTGTTCATAATATGCTTGATTTCTGAAATCCCTAGAGGTCTTTAACCAAATTCCTAAGTAATGTGTAGATTTTATTAAGTTAGAGAGTTTAATAGTTTTCTGTGGATAATCTGTAATGCTGTACATGTATTCCCTTAGAATCAAAGGATATATCCCCCCAATGCTACTTAAAAGCTTGGAGTGAAACAAGGATGTCCCAAACTACATTGTTGAAGTGTGATTATTTTGCTGGTTTCTTTTTTGAATTACAAGGTTTTAATTTTTTTTAAACCTCCAGGATTAGCAAATCAGAAAGGTTCTGGTTCTATCCATGTTGCTGATTACAAGGCGAGATTGGAGATGAGCTGACAGAAACCACATTTATAAAAACTCACTTGATTAGGTTGATGAGCGGTGTCTAAATTTGATAAATGAATGAATAAATTCAATCTTGCTGGATTAGGCCAAGGCCCATTTCATTTCAGCCTTTTGTTTCTCCTAGGAGCCAAAGATGTATCCCTTGGGATCTCAGTAAGCTGGATAGGGACATTCTCATTGTTGATTCCCCTAGTAATTGGCATTTCAAAATAAGCTTGAATATCCACATAGTCATCCAGTTTAGCTCTGACTACCTTGGAAGAAGTTTGGCAAGTGTGAAGATAGTTACGGTGGGAAGTGCTGTGCTTTGTGGGAAGGAATAAAACTGCTCCTGTCTGCCATCTCTGTGCTATGCATGATTTTGTACAGTCATGTTCTACTTGTGTTCCTCCCCCTCCCCCATAAGCTAAGAATGTTCTAATCATTCTAGACTTTTCTTGTAGGGTATTTCATCCCCCAATCGTTTTAGTTCCCACCTTCTGCCCTTTTTTCAACGTTGTTATATCTTTCTTCAATGTGCCCAGAATTCTAAATAGCATTCCAGATTAAGACATACCATAGATTTGGATTTACAACACTGTTGTTTTTATTTTGAATTCCTTCCTTAACAATCTCAAGCATGGTATCTGCTTTTCTCACAGCTGCTGAACATTTAGTTGATATTTTCTTGGGTATCCTCTAGGACTTCAAGATATTTCTCTTTCTTCTTGTCCAACTTCCTTGTTCATTCTGCCACAAAAATTAGAGGGGGTGGAGGTAAGATCAGCCAGGCAGGATAAATATGCAGCTAAAGTTTTAAATATTTGGGCAGACGGAGCTAATCCTTGTTCCTGGTTGTCTGCAAAGCTAATTTAGATAACATAAATTCAGAAAAAGGGATTTATTAAAAATGGTAACTTCATAACAGGCCGAGTCAAATTAATATTTCCTGTGAACATGTCCTGTCCTGCAGTAAATAATTGATTGAAAACATTGTCTTGCATGAGGAAGAAAAATAAACAGCCAGATACATTCCACTGAATTAAAATACCTATACTTCTAGAACAAATCATTTATAAGATCTGGGCTGTAAACGCTCAGAAAACCATTACACTAGTAATTTCAATTTTTTGCAGCTTAAGAGGCGTGATCTGAACTGCGATTCTTTCCCATGACCAAACAACATTTTCCCGAAACAAAGTTATGTTTTGAAATTAGAAATAAAATGCATTTTCTATTTCATTCACAAACCTATTTTACCTTTTATTAAATTGATCCTTCTCATTTAACCAGTTTAAAGAAATCATTCTGGAGCCTTTCTCAATTACTTTTGGGTTTTTTTTATTAACTTGATTTGTTTAGTATTATCCACAAATTTATCCAATTCATTAGCAAGTTATAAACAGGTTAAAAATTGTCAGTCCTAAAGCATGTTGAAGAACTCCATTTCTCTGCATTATGAAAACTGATTTTTTTTTAATCAGATGGCAAACCATAAAATGAAAAAAAACACATTAACTTATTACTGCTATATTCTAAAGTACACAGAATTGATAGGGTCAACTTCCATTCATGTCTATTTGGGCCAAGAGAAGCAAGTTGGATTTTGCTACTATGCATACACTGGATTGCAGTGATAAGCTGGAGAGGTTTCAGGTTAGGTTGCAAAGTCGAAAGTTATATCTGCACGTTAGTTCCTGAACCATACTATATTTTGAAGCCCTTATATTGAGTTTTTAGACAGCAGTCCAAATACAAAGATGGCTTTTTCAGTAATGCTGGAATAATGAGTTCACTGGTTGGCCTATGACTAATTGCCATTACTAATGGTCTCAAGGTAACGAAAATAATGTAGACAACCTTTCCCAAATACCTAGTGTCATTAAAAAGAAAGAGCACCCTCACTGAGTTCTATGGTTTTATGTATCGGGGCATAATCATCATCATCTGGTCCTTAGCTGTTCTTAAATGTAAATACAACCTCAAATGAACAACAACATAGGACTTATTACACCATGCTATCATTTATTTTACAAGAAGCCAAAATGGAAGCCATGTGTGAAAAATTAAATACACCTTATGATTCAGTAGCTTGTAGAACCACGTGTAGCAGCAATAACTTGGGGTAATTGTTTTCTGTATGACTTTATCAGTTTCTCACACCATTGTGATAGAATTTTGGCCCACTCTTCTTTACAACATTGCTTTAGTTCATTGAGATTTGTGGGCATCTGTGCACAGCTCTCTTGAGGTTCCACTACAGCACTGAACTCGGTTGAGGTCTGGACTTTGGCTGGGCCATTGTAACATCTTGCTTTTTTTCTTTTTCAGCCATTCTGTTGTAGATTTGCTGGTGTGCTTGGAATTATTGTCCTGTTTGCATGATCTAATGTTGGCCAAGCTTTAACTGTCAGATAGCCAGTCTATTATTTAACTTAGAATACTTTGATATTCAGAGGAGTTCATGGTCAACTCAATGACTGCAAGGTGCTCAGGTCTTGTGATTGAAAAACAAGCCCAAATCATCCCCTTCCACTACCATGCTTGATGATTGTATGAGATGTTTGTGCTAATTTGCTATATATGGTTTTTGCCAAATGTGGCACTTGCATTATGGCCAAACATCTACACTTTGGTCTCATCTGTGTTCCAGAAGTCTTGTGATTTGTTCAGATGCAACTTTGCAACCTAAGTCATGCTGCCATGTTCTTTTTCGTGAGAAGAGGCTTTGTCCTGACAACCCTTCCAAACAAACCATACTTCTTTAGTCTTTTTCTAATTGTAGTGTTATGAACTTCCAACATTTAGTATGTTAACTGATGCCTGTAGAGTCTGAGATGTAACTCTTGGGTTTGTTTGTTTGTTTTTTGCAATTTCTCTGAGCACTGCCCGGTCTGACCTTATTTTATCTAGCTCTAAACAAAATATATTTTTTTCTTTTTCATGTATTCCTTGTACCTAACCAAAGGAGTTTCAAATATACATTAGACTTTTCCATCTTGAGAAATCATGAACTTTCCAAGATAATATAATTTAGTCTATATGTTATGATGTGATAATATTCTAATTATTGTTATGTACAGCAAAACAATTGCTATAATTGGGATTTCTACTTTTTCAGTAATTTAAATGCCAAGTAAGAATTAGCTTTATTAATTGTATATCTGATAACCCAACTCTGTGTACTTTTCAAAGAGGTAAGGAACATTGATGCTAGGTAGCAATTCAGCAATATTGTATGAGTGGATAGAAAATTATTTTCAGATCAATACTTCACATATCAACAACTGAGAGTTAAATAACTAGTAAATCAGTTGTATAGATTAGAAAAATCCAACTCAACAGTGTATAATTCTAATTTTCAAAACTAAATTTTGTAGAATTTGTTTTACAATTTTCTCAGCTGTCTGTTTAATGTTTGTTGTGAATAGGAAAAAATACATTTGTTTTATAAAGAAATGAAGTATTATCTGGAAAATATTCTACATGATACGTTCTAAGGCTCCAAAGGTACTTTGCTTAGGCAACCTGTACAGGTTAGACACCCGTGGTTCGCTACGAAACTATGTGCTCAGGCTTAATAAATTGACACTTACAGCCTGAAACTTAATGTAGAATGTGTAACTTTGTAGCATCAGTGTGTGTTAATATAATGCAACTGGGAGTTGGAACAGAGGGGGAGGGGGAGTAGAATGTCCCAGCCCGCAGCATCCATTCATCTGGCTAACATCCTGTCACTGTGTGAGAGAGTTGAGGGGTGTTTGGAAACTCAAACAGTATTTGCTGTGTGAGCAAGGAGACAGGAAGGAGGCTGGGCGTGGCTTAGCTCAACTGTTCTGTAGTAAAGCTGCTTGCTGCTGTGAAAGTAAAACTGAAAGTGAAACTCTTGTCCTCTGCTTGTGTTTTGCATTTGGAACAGATCTCTTTTGAGGTGGGAAGGGGGAATAGAACTCCTTAGCATCAGAGTATGTTAATAATAATATAGGAAATACTAATGCTCTGATGGACATTTTGAAAAATCATTTCTTAGTGAGCACCTAGAGGCCAAGAAGAACATACATGGCAAATTTCAAGTTTGTAGGCTTTACGGTTCTGGAGATTTCATGATTACAGCCTGAGGGGTTTTCACTTTTATATATATATAGATGAGAGGACATATTACTTTACATTTCTTTTTGCTCTATCAAGTAGGCGGCCTTTTTCTTCTGCAATGTTATGGCACTGAGCTGTAATTACAAACACACAAACAAGGATTAGTTTCTTTCTTCACTGGTTCTTTTAAACAAATTAGATGACAATACAACCTGAAATAGACATAACTTACAAAAATTATTTTCTTCCTATGTAAAGTTTTTTCTCATCCACCATTATTATGAACACATTAAATGTTCTCTGACTTGCAATTTCATTAGTAGCTTACTTAAAACTTTTTATGTGAGAGGAAGGAATTACTTTCTGAGGAATGACCTTACAGATATAAGTGAATTCCAATTTATATCAGCTATAGTGATTAGTGGTTAAAAGTCCAACTTCTGAATGGCACAACTTGTTTATCCCATTATGAATTATACATATAGATCTGATCCTACAAGTGAAATACAGAAGTCTCCAGTTGTAAGAGACCAATGTATTAATGTTAACAGTTTCTATATTGCATTCTTATATTTTACTTGCCAAATTACCTTTCAAACCAATTGATTTGAAAGAATGGTTGTGCTAAGTAAACCTATTTCCACATATAATTTGCTAAAGTTGAAATTTCTACATGATTTAAGTTGTAATTTTATGTTAGTTCTTGAAACCTATTCCAAGTTTCTAGACAGACATTTCCTTTTAGTATACCTAATTCTGTATTTAAAATGTTTTGCCTTTATTTATTTCCATATAACAGAAAACTAATATAAAAAGGAGAAAACAATGCAAGTACAAAAATTATATCTACAAGGCCTTATCATGCATATATACAATTACATACAATATATGCATTTATTTCAACAGCTGCAGTAATCATTACATAAAGTATATTTCTCTTTTTTAAAAATAAAGACTGAGCTCTTTATTCATTTAACTGGACCAATTTAATTTAGATACCTGTTGAGTTGCTGTAGTTGCCCTCTCTTCTGCCTGATTTAGTCGACTTTGAAGTCGGTTGACTTTTTCTTGATATTCCCTCATTAATTTTTCGCTCTGTATAAATGAAATCACTTATTACAAATGTAAAATTTGTAACAGAAATTGCAAATAGACTTTGAAAAAAAAAACAATTGCTAAAGAACAATATAAAACCACAAAGTATAGACATGCCGCTCCATGCAGTATCAAGTCAGTTTGGAAAGTTGTTACTGAAGCCTTACAATAAATTGTGCACATCTTGTTATTTTTCTTGTTTGGTCAACTTGAGAGATTGACATAAAAGACTATTATCTTCTGATTGAAAAATGTTCAGTTGCAATCTATTTCAGTTCACTGATGTCTAAGGGATTTTTTATATGGTTTTCTTAATATAGTAGCAAACGATGCCTTTGATGTTGTCACTAAAATAGTCACCTGCCTTCAGCATCTTCCTCTATTGCTGATTACAGATGCCTGCTAGCTTTTACTGAGATGAGCTTCACGCCTTGGGAACCCCGATGGGATTATAATCACTTGGCAGAAACACCCCTCCATTACCAGGAGGCAGCACAGAAGGATTTAGAAGGCATTTGTTTATAAGGTAGTTTTATTTTTATCAGGATAAAGAATGAACTTTTTTTTAACCAGATGATTAAGATAATTATTAAAATGTCTGTGTAACTGCAGAAAAATGAACATTTAAATGAAAAATGAAATTTACATTTGTCTGTATAATAGCAGAACAATGAAATACAACAGGATGAAAGGATAAATTACAGATAGGTATTAGTAAAAAACTTCATCCAGGATACACATTTTAATGTATAAACAGCAGTAAAATTACTAGCCATTTCTAACATTTTTCCAGTGTGTGATATTAGAAAAAGCATGTGTCTCTGGGTCAGAACAGCTCCAATCAAAATGACAGTAATATTCAAATAGAACTGTCCTTATAGCTGAAGCATAACATTTGGATCATATTAATGATATTACCTCAATAACCTTTTCATTTGCTCTTTCCAGTTGGTAAAATAAATCTTGGGTGTGAAGCTTTTGACGACTCAGCTCGGTTCTGCCACATAAGATCAAACAAACTCATTAATGAAAACCAGTGAACTTGTGAAGCCATTTGTAGTAAGTATATTTTCCAGACGAACTTAGGATAATAAAGTCCTTTCCCTCTCTTCCTGAACAATGGATGATATGGAGAGGATTTAATCTGAACATTCATATGGTAAAACATTCTGGGTTAAGGAACACCTGAAGTCATCAGTTCCATCACATTCTTTTCTCTTTTTTAAAAATCATACCTGCAATAATTATTGCTTCTATGTCCCACCTCTGTTTCACTTAAATACTAATATTGTGGTTTTTTTCCCCCTATAGTAATATGCTATGACAGCATTATATAACGGTGGGAAATCCTCTATCCAATTGGCTGTTTCTTCATTTTACTTATGGAAGCCCATTCCCATTCCACTCTCCACTCCACTTGTTTGGGACAGAAAGAATAAATAAATAAATAATTCTGAAAAGATTTAATAATCCTCCATTTTTCATGTATGTTCTCCATATAGCTATGCCCTGAAGAACCAAGACAGCCCAATAATGAAATTTCCTTACCTATATAAGCCTTACCCAATCTTTTATAATTTGCAGTTTCCAACTACTAAAACATTTCAAAACATTGTACATAATAATGCATAAAAAACTATGAGTCCTGTGTGTGTGTGTGTGTGTATTTCTATCCCAACATTAATTAATCCAAAAGTAGGCTAGAATTAACTTGCATTTCAAAAACTGAAAATGAAATAAAAGATAGACTGTGTAACAGTAAAGTAGAAGAAATAATATATAAGCTAGTGAGGTTTAATGCAAAATTCTCATATGACATAGAAAGCATGTGCCAGATGTTTTTCAGTTATTCAGTTATGCTATTCAGTTATGCATAGTAATTATATATTTTGTAGATCTTCAATATCTGCAGCTGTTTCTTATCCTGTTAACATTCTTAAATAATTTAAAATAAATGGTACAATTGGTTGTTACATAATTTCAGTTAAAATAAATACATTTTATGAATCAGAAGCCCACTAATATGATGCAATTTATTTAAGTATGTAAAAAAACATTGTTTCAGCTCATACCTAATGAATTGTTTTACTATTCCACAAGTATTTTGTAAAATGGAAAAATTAGTAATACAAAGGCACAGGCTGAATTTAAAATAAGATCATTTCAACTTGTGACTGATTTACTGTATTCAAAATACTAATTAAAGTTAGTCAAATGGATACGAGGGAGCTTGTATGTCAACAGTATTAATCAGTAATTCTGAACATGTGGATTTTTGTTTTTGAAAAAGCTTCCAGTTACATCAGGGGTGTCAAACTCGCGGCCTGCAGGCTGGATGCGTCACGTGCTGGCCCTACCCCCGAGTGGTTTAGTGAAGGGGGGAAAAGTCCCGATATGTCACATGACGCCGTGACAACGTGAGTTTGACATCCCTGAGTTACATGAACTGTTCACTTAACTTATCATTTATTTCTGTAGTCAGCTGATGGTCCCTAAAATCAGTGTTTTTATAATTGGTAAATTCAGGAATAAGCTTGTTTGTAATTTGCGATTATAACTACAGACATGCCATTAAAGGTATCTGAGAGTCCTTGAAAGGCAATTTGAAGCTTTAAAGTAACTGCTTGCATTTATATTCAGCATTTTTAACCTGCTTTTCACCCAATTAGCTTTCAGTGTGGTTCTCAGCATGATCATTACTAAAGTGAAATATTTTAATAAATTTAAAGCACAGAGGTCACCTTTCAGCATTAGGAGAACACATAATTAGAATACACTGAATCAGCATAACTGAGCAACCTAAAACACTTCAAGACATTCCCTTGGAGAGTTAATACTGTAAAATAGCTTAAAATCTCTGTAAAATGTTATTTTAAAGCCTGAAGTTTTTCAACTATATATATTTCAATGTGTATTTTATTTTTGATGCTTGTGTTTATTTTCAAGTTCACATAACTTTCAGACAAGTTAATACTAGATAAGTAAATTAAGGATAGACTAGCAAATTAGGCTAATGGAACTTCCTGAATTAATAATATTTTCTTTTTTTTCATTCAAATATTTTTTTCTACGAAAGTAATTCTCCTTTCTTTCTTGTTTCTCTCTGCATGTCTTTTTCTACTATGCAAAAAGTACTTGTCAATATTAATTGCTCAAGCTGTTAGCCTGGCTCAAAAATGGACATTTTGATCCAAGATGACTGTATAAAATTTATAAAACAAAGACAAGGTACAAACTTAACATGAATAGAGTTAACCAATCTGAACTCTTCTGTAACACCTTATGTAGAATTTCTTTTTTAGTTCATTCCTTAGTCATCCTCAAAATCTATGGGCAATTACAAGTAGTCCACAACTTACAGCAGTTCATTTAATGACTGTTCAAAGTTAGAACGGCACTGAAAAGTGACTTATGACCATTTTTCACACTTATTTCCATTGCAGCAACCCCAAGAGCATATGATCAAAATTCAGATACTTGGCAACTGACTCGTATTTATGATGGTTGCATCGTCCCAGGGTCATGTGATCAACTTCTGTGACCTTCTGACAAATCAAGGGGGAAGCCAGATTCACTTAACAACTGTGGTAAGAAAGGTTGTTAAATGGGGCAAAATTCATTTAACAAATGTTTCACATAGCAACAAAAATGTTGGACTCAACTGTGGTCGTCAGTCGAGGACTACTTGTACCTCCTTCCAGAAAGCAACACTTCAACTCTGCCTACTCTGTCTCCTGAGGTAAGATCTAACAGTTATTTTGCTTGTTTTTTCCAAGTAGTACCATTTTTCTTCCAAGTTTGGAAGACAGCAGATAATGAGTACCATATTTTTCGGAGTATAAGACGCACCGGAGTATAAGACGCACCTACCTTTTTTGGTGAGGAAAAGAAGAAAAAGAAATCTCCCTCTGCCTCTGCCTAATTTTGCCTCATTACAGCAAACAGCCTGCTTTACTTTCATTTTCGTTTTCAGCATAGCTTGATTAGCACAAGGGAAAAAAAAATCTGCTCCAGCAATTTACCTCTTTGCAGCAAGCAGCAGAGCCCTGTGCAAAACAGCTGAGAGCAAATCAGCTGACAGTCAGAGGCCGATCCAATCAACTTGTGCTAATTAGCCTGTGCTGAAGCTGAAAGGAGCTGTTTTTTCTTGATGTTTGCTTGCAAGAAGGTAACTGATGTGAGGCAGAGGCCAAAGGGGAGGGGAGCAGTGGGTGGGCAGGGCTACGTTTGGTGTATAAGATGCACCTAAATTTTTATCCCCTTTTATGGGGGGGGGAGGGGAAGGTACATTTTATACTCCGAAAAATACAGTATCTGGTAATGCTATGGAGCCAACATTTTCATCTTTTTTTTCATTTTTGTAATGAATCCACAATGTCTAGATCAGGGGTGTCAAACTGGTGGCCCATGGGCCGGATGCATCAAGTGAAGGCCACGCCTACTCCAACTCCACAAAGGGAAAAAATGTCGCAAAATGTCACGATGGCAACGTGATGCCAGAGTTTGACACCCGTGGTCTAGACTATTTAGAAATGTCAAAGAAAAAAACCCCTTACTTTAGACTATTTATTCTGGATTCAGTTATTTCTGTTATTTTCTTTGTTTCCTCTTTCCAGCGATTCGTTGCTTTTTGTTGAGCCATCAACAGGCGTCTAAGCTCAGTTACTGAGTTTTGATTTACATCTTCCATCTCTTTCAGTTGAATTTCAAACCCATGTTCTTTTAGTAAATGTTCATTCTCCATTGTACTTATCTGTTAGAAAAAATAAGTATCTTATACAAAAAAAATAATTGTTATTCTTTAAAAGTCAACAATTGAAAGCTAAATTTCTACCAGTAAAGAATTATTGGATGTTTAATTATGGAAATTAATGCAAGATAAAACAATTAATTTCAGATACATTTTGCACTGTACTTTCTTCTTACGCCAAGCAATCAATAACCTCTCTGAGTATGCTTCAATTAAATAAATTTAATTCCATTGAAGAAATATCATTGGACCTGGTCATCCATAGATTTCTAGATGAGTATATCTTTAATATTTTACTGTGCTCATTTTTATTTGAAACTCCAGTTTATCTTTGTAATGCTCATCCTCACATCTTTATACTAAAAGACTTTATGATTTCAGCCAACTATTATCTATTATTGAAGTATGAATATATGCAAACCTAAACTACAAAAGATAGTCAAATAAAGATAATGCCTAACAAATCTTATTGCATTCTTTGTCAAAGTGACTGATATCATTGTAAAAGTCAATTTGAATTCATTTTTAAAAGAGGTGAGCTAATACTGTCTTGTTCCTTGCAAATTCAAATCCAAACAACTTGCATCAATTCTGAAGTATTATATAAAAAACAATACCTTTAATTTTGCGGTATGTTGTGCCTCCATTGTCAGTTTTTTCAAGTTTTCCATTTCTTTTTGAAGCTGTTCATTCCCTTGTTGCAGCTTTAAGCGCTCTTCACTTATAGCTCCACATTTCTCCCTTTCAGAATCCAGAATACTTTGCAGCTTGCACATATTTTCTTGGCAACGGCATCTCTCTTCTTCATATCTTAAAGTGAATTACATTTTTTACAGCCAGTTTAAAACATGTCTTGAAATCACACATAGACTTTAGACTACATAAAATATAGTAATATTTGACATTTTGTTTCTTTTTTTTACTCAGTAGAATCAGAAATATTTTAAGTAACACTCATCAAGTACTGAACATAAATGTATTTAATGTGTGCCGATGCTACCATAGTCCAGTATAAGTTGCATAGTTAGTTTAGAGATTTAAATGAGCATATATTAATTAATAAAACTGTAAAAACATGTTGACAATTACCAATGTCACATCTAAACCTAGTGATAATAACTGTCAAAAGTTCTATGAAAGACTGTACTATTGCCTAACTGAATGCCATCATGCTGGCATCAGTTCAATGTCTGAAGGAAGGACAGCAATCAGAAACATGACTTCTGTTTTTCCCCACCTTTTGAATGGAGGAAAGTATTAAGCATTAACTTTTTTAGATGAATGCACTAGATAGGCTAATTCTACTTAAAGAAGCAATTCTGGAGTCAAGGCATTTAGGATATCATAGTTTAAATTAACACTTTGAATTGTACCCATAAGCCTATCAGAAAATAGAATGCCCACCAAACTGCCATGATATGGCTCTCTCTTTCCAGAATGTAGGTTGCCACGCTTTACACTAACTTCAGTTTCGAAGTACATTTTCAAAGGAAATCCTATATAAAGCACATTTTTAGTAATCTAACTTGAGATGATATGAATGTGAGTTACTGTTCTCAAGGCCTTCTGCAACGCAAAGGTGCTCCTAGCTATGGTCTTATCTCCAAATCAAGTAGCAGCTGTGAGTCCAGGGCAACCTCCAAGCTACAGACCTGCTTTTTCAGTGGAAATGCAGTCCTGTCAGGATTCAGACATATTCATCTTCTAAGCTTATTTTGACCAGGCCTACAGCCTGGATGATGATCTCTACCACATTTCCAATTTAGCCTGGTGATTTGTATAATTGGGTATCACTAGCATATTGATAATATTTCATCCCAAACTGATGGATGACTTCTTCTAGTAGTTTCATAAAGATGTTAAGGAGCAAGGGAAAGAGATCAGAATGCTCCAACACCTCATAAGGAAGGAACCAACACCATACCCCTTCACAAGCAGGTTATCTATCTATTTCTTCAGTCTCAAGCCAAAGATGAATCCCAGATAACATAAAGGGTTGTCCCAATTATTTCTTCAGGCCCTTCCAATGAAGAGTCAACACTTGACCAAACATAAGTAACTGTACCAGTGAAATATGCAAATACCTCACAGCATTTTAAGATGTTGGATAACCATTTGTCTGAAGTGGTATAGGGCTTCCTGCCTTAGCAGGGGGGTGGACTAGAAGACCTCCAAGGTCCCTTCCAACTCTGTTATTCTATTCTGTTCTGTTCTGTTCTAATCACACCTCAGGCACAAAGCTAGCTTCTAAGAGTTACCTCAGACAATTGTAAACCACTTAAGGAATCTTGCCAAGAAAATTGCAGGGATTAGTCCTGGCATCGCAAGGAGGAAAAAGCTGACTTGAAAGCATACAAACACTGACACATTGTCACTTTTTTGTGGCCATTCTATTGGCATTGAATTCCAACATTATCTCTCACTTTCCAAGTGTTGAGTCAAGTCTTTAATATGGCTCTGAGAGATATCTAAAAGTCTACCAATTTTTAAATTTTATTATAAGAGAAGAAATTAACTACTTGATTGGAGAGTAATTATTTCAATTATATTTAAATGTAATTAATCTGTAAAAGTAATCAAATCATGCTCAGTTTTTATTCTGGCTCTGTCTATCACCTTCTGGTGAGACTGTCCACCCCTCCAGTATACTGCTTAAAGACAATTAGGGCTACAAACAATATGGGAAAAAGCATGTTGCAGAGAGTAGACAGAATGTCAAAGTAAACAATATACAGAGGAGAAGGAAAATCAGAGGAAGCAGACATAACATATACTTGTGCTATCTCATTTTCTTTATTTTCATTTTTAACTCGGTGACTGTCAAGGTTTCTGAATTCTTTCCCACTTCAGGAATACTTTTTCCAAGTTACTCCTAAGCTTCAAGAGATATAGACATAGCAACGTGATATATCTGTAGATTCACTTTTTATAAACCACATGCCTTATAAGATAATTCAGTAACTACTTGCATAAGAAGATGGAAAACATTAAAAAATGCTTCATAACAGACAGATAAAGACCATCTCCAAAGCTTCCCACCTGCCAGAAAACACAATAAATTGCCGAATGGAAGGACATAAGAAATCTGCATCTTTCTAAATTCAATTTATTTGTATTTTAATTAGTTTTTTTTATTTTCTAAATACTTTGAGGGAAATTTTACCTTGAACTTTAATAAACTGAAGTAAATAAAACAAACAAAATGTATATTTTGGGGTTGGACTAGATGACCTCAAAGGTCCCTTCCTGTTACTGATATATTTCCATTATACAAAAATTTGTAATAATTACACATCAGTGCAAACTTTAAAAATAAAATTCCAATACAAATGCAAGAGAATAAATCTCTCTGATCAAAAATCTCCAGAGATAAAAATGGAAAGAAAATGGATATGAGTTTGCAGCATATGTTAATTACTTACTTCAATTCCAGTTGCTTAATTTTGTTTTGTGCCGTTTGCAAACTAAGATGAAGATCATCTTTTCTACGTTCAGCATTCAGACATCTCTGGTAAAGCTCTTCTAGTTTTCTATAATCAGCTTCGTTTCCTCTACCTTCACGGTATACCTGACAGATGAATTTAAACCAGGATATGATTACAATGTTCCAGTAAAATCCCTGATTTGACAAACCATTACTGTGCGAAAATTAGAAGGTGGATAATCATTTCATTATGACTATCACATCTGAAGAAAGATTCTGTTATTGTCCACCAGACAAACATTCTACAGGTAGACCTTGAATTATGGCAGTGACTGGGATCAGAATTTCTGTCACTAAGCAATGCGGTCATAAAGCGCAATATAATGTAACCATATTGCTTAGTAATGGCGATCTCTGCAGTCCCCACTGCCACTGTTAAACGAGGTTTGGGAGTCGTTAAGTGAGAATCTTCTCATGACTTCCTATTAGATTCCAAACAAAATCATTGGGGAAGACAGCAGGAAGGTAAATGACTGCTATAGGATGGGAAAGGAAGCAAAGGGGTGTGTGGGTTTGGGGAAGGCAGAGTAAAAGTGTGCTGTGAGCAGGCAAGTGTATAAGTGGCAGGCAACGACTGGCATAAACATGAGACTAGGAAGGGCAACAGGTAAGCAGGAAGGCGCAATGCAGTGCAAGTGCAGCAGAGCTTGGGGTTGTTACTGCTGGGTGTGGAGGACATGTAATGGTGCGCAAGTGGCCAGGGAGGATGCATGACTGGCAAAGAGGCACAAATGTGAGGATCGTGAAAAGTGAGTGGCTGATGGGAAGATATTTTACAGGCCAGGACTTGGGATGGTGCCAGGTAAGAGGGCACACAAATGTGGAAAGGTGTAGTATAAGTTCAGCAAGGCCTGGGGAAGAGTACAGCAGGGAGTGTAGGTGGTGAAAGAGACACAACCCGACGGCAGAGGGGGCACAAGGAGGGTGTGTGGGTGGCAGAGTGGCAACACACACACATGGCTTGAGATGGCTAATGCTGGGTGGAAGAAGGTGTGCAAATGGTGGGGAGATATGGCACAAGCTCAGCAAAACTTGGGGAGGATGCTCAGATGGTGAAGGTGTGACTGAGCACAACGAGGTGATATGTAGCATGAATGCAGAGGGGCTGGGAAAGGGTGCACTGTAGGAAGAGACTTACCCAAGTGACTTGCAACCTTCCCTACTGGATTCCCCACTGACTTTGCTTGTAGAAAGTTGGCAGAGGTAGTTACAAATTGAGATCATATGACCACAGGATGCTGCAAGCTTCATAAGCGCAAGCTGATTGCCAAACACCAAGACAGCAAACATGTAACTGCGGCTAGGATGGCCAAAACTTTGAAGACCGATTGAAACATCACTTGTTTAACACTATCATAACTTTGGTTGCTAGGAGGAGGACTTTGGTTGTTTAAAAAAACTATACTGTTTAACCAGGTTTTCCTGAGAGTTTGTATCGTGTTCATTATCATCTAATTATTCGTATAATTGCTTTAAATTAACATTGTTATAGTATGAGAACTGATAATCTGCTCTTTTCAAGATCTTCCTTTCTTAGTTCTTGTTTACTGATTTAAGTGAGTTTGATGTGCGTTTTAGCCATTCTAGCTTGCACAGAACTTTCGTGAGTTTCATGAGTCACAGGCAATTCGTTTTTATTTCAGCTCAAGTTATTTGGGTAAAAAAAAAAATACTGAACAGCATTACATGCTATTAAGTCAACTTCTGCTATTGCAATGCCCAAGTATTTTTTTCATGACAGTATATTTTTATTCATATATAAATGAGGTGAATGCTTTGATCCTTTCCAGTCTGTCTCATGTGACCAAGGCTAATATTTTCTACACTCTAAACATTATTTACTTATTAGCATGTACACGATAACATTATTATATGAAAATGGGGGGGGGGGAAGAAAAAAGATTTTACTTTCTCTAGTTCTTCTTCAACTGCTTGCTTTTCTCTAATAGCTCGTTCTAGTTGGCTTTGCTTTTCTCCACATTCCTATAAAGCAATAACAGAATATGTATTTTTTTTAGAAATCAGTAAGTGACATATAACTAACTATATGTGTAAGTAGCAAACAAAATCGGGATCACTAATGAAGCCTGTCCTCAAGTATAATTATGTATTTATGATCTATGAAATTGCCAAAAATTCCATTGACTGTAAACTTTCTTTACCTTTCAGTTATCTTTAACCTGTTTCCAGATTAAGAAATATCTGCACTGAAATAATACAGGGTTAAGTTAGGTGAATTTTAATTTTTCAAGTTATATTTCAGAGTAATATCCATCAAATCACTTTTGGCAAAAGAGGGATTTAGACCTCTTCCCTGCCTCCAATATCAATTCCTAAAAGTAAAATCTGGAACCATCATGTATCTCTATTTCTCTTTTTAAAAAGGAATAAGGTATGTTAAATATGCTAATTGAACAAAACATTTGTGACTCGTGTATTTTTTACAAATTGCAACAAAGCTTGATGCTGTGTTTATTTTACCCAGAAGTTTTAACAAGTAAAGTATATTATCTGTTTTGTATCTGATCTTCCAAATAGTAGCATCCCACATGAAAAAATATTTTTATCATTACATTTAATGAAATTGTGAATGCTTAGACACAGAAGATTTTTTTCCTGCACAAACTAAACTAGTGAAACTGATTGTTGTTTTGTGGCATTGAATTTTAAAATGCTTATTTTTCCTCGGTGAAAGTCAACATAGGGGGAAAAGTTCAGAATGTAAACTTGTATTTGTTTGCTGCCTATCTCGCCTTAGGGCTACTTTAGACAGTTAACTGAAGCAAAATGTACAACTTACCATCTGAAGTGCAGTAAGTTCTTCTGTTAAACGTGAAATTTGAATATTGTATCGTTTCCTCTCGTTTTCTACCTATTTTTTTTTAAAAAGAGGCATTATTCTGTGTCCAATGGATGTTTCCTTACTTTATTATATAATACATTTTTAGGAGTACAAGAGGCTGCAATATGCTAAACAGAAATATACTAATTATCAGTACAGCTTTCTATATAACTTCCAGAACTAAGCAATGTCCAGATATAGGTGTCCATAATTGGAAGGGCACAAGCATCCTCCACCTCCTCTTCCAAACAGCTTCTCCAATATTTTGAATCTGCTACTTAGGGCATTTGAAAAACCTGATGAAAATTTAGGGGCATCCCAGAAAATCAGACATAGTGACTTGCAGTGAGTTTGGATTTTTAGCAATCACACTTCTACCTTGCCCCACTAAAGCAGTCTGTAAGTCTCTTGAGGGGGGGTTGAAGGAGAATGTTTCCAACATTTCTGGTTCTGCCAGCTAAATTACATGGACTATAACGTCCATAGTTTACTGGGAGAAATAATTTTTTCTCCCAATAACAAAGGTCCACTCACAAAATTACTTGAATTATCTATAGGCAAACGTTGCATACTTCAATTGAGATAACTTTCAAATATTTAGCTTTCAGAGTAACAGTATCAATATTATTAATGTAATTTACAAGAAACGTGTAAGAAAATATGAAAATGTTTTAAGCATGACTGCTTACTTCTTTCCTTGTTCTTAAAGCAGCATCTTGAAGCAGCTGAGAAACGGCTTGTTTCATATTTTCAATTTCCTCTTCTTTTTGTTTCTCTGATAGCATTGCCTAGAATTGGAAAGAATGGCCATATTCCAGTAAAAACTTCCTACTGAAGGTAGATCAAGCCATAACCCTAAAGATACAGCTATTTGTGTTTAATAGAAAACAAATTAATGTAAGTTCAACAAAGCACAGTTGTCTCATAAACATATACAATAAATTAATCACCTGACTCTTCTGGAGATTCGCTTCTTCTATGAGTTGCATGCTGTCTCGGACTTTTCCTACAGCATCATACTTTTCTTCTTCTATATTCACACATTTTGTTTGCAGCTCCTGAATTGTTTTTTCAAGATTTGTTCTTTCTGATCTTAGCTGTTTGGAATCTTTTGTAGCTACACAAAGTCTGCACAATGGAATAGGGACCAATTGAGTGTTTAGGTTAATTTAGGTTAAGGTAATTTAGGTAAGACTGCAACTAAAATAGTTGTCCTTCTATCATTCGAGACCTGATAATATTAAATTAAGCTTCTTCTCTAATATGGTGAAATCAAATCATTTTGGGGCAGCATCTTTTTGCAGCATCTTTCAAATACTTTCAAATCTTTCACTGTTATCGTAATAGTAAAATTTCAGATATCCAGAAATAGGAAAACTAGACTCCTCAATAAGTCTCATCATTCCACCAACTTGTGCAACTGTTGTTCTCAAGTCCAATGTGGATTGTCTGCATATTAAAAAGATAAACTTCTCTAAATATGAAATACACTGACTACACAAATATGGTATTTTTACATTACCATTCCATGTTCAATCTCAAGAAAATAAGAAGTTTAATTTTAGTCATTTTATTATTCTCCGTATAAACCTTGTAATATTTATTGCTTTGTAAACCTTTCTAAATTAATAAAGTGTTTCTTAAATTTTGAGGTTACTTTTTTCAAGAAGAGTCTGAAATCTAAGCTAAACCTTAAACATATTTTTGACTGGATGAATCCAAGTTGGCATATTTGTCATTGATCCAAACCCCCAAAAAACCAAGGCAGCTCTCAAACCCCAACCAATTTTGCAGCCTTTTTTGACGGTAAACCAATATTCGACTTAATGTTTATTCTGGAGGGCCACAAAAATAATAATCAACTAAAAATTCATTAGATGGAAGAAATTATACTGGTTGAATATGTTCTGTACAAATATATTCTAAAATGGGATTCTAGTGTTAAAGTGGAAGTTATTATTTAACAATTTACCGTGTTTCCAATTGTTTTATGCTTGCCTGCAATTCTTGCAAGCGTTTATCTGATGCCTCCTCTTTTTCACGAGCAGCTAGGACCTCTTCTTCCTAATAAACAGGAAAGTCGGAGCTTTTTTAGAACAACTTTATGTCCAGCAGAAACAAGAGTCCAGCAATATAAACTTCTATTTTGAAAGTTGAGAAAGGATCTGTTCAACCTTTCTGTTTATTTGGCTGCGAAGATCGTCAATGAATCTCATCATTTCATCAGCTTTTGCAACTGTTGTTCTCAAGTCCAATTTGGATTGTCTGCATATTAAAAAGATAAATTTTTCTAAATAATACATTGACTACACAAATATTGTGTTTTTACATTACCATTTCATGTTCAATCTCAAGAAAAAAAAAATCTGCATACAGGTGAAATTACGCTCTTGCTCAACGAATTATTGCACCAGAAAAAGTCACATTTTAGAAAAGATACATGGTCAATTTTATTATCTCTTTGTGAACATATTTGATAGCATTTACAGTTCATTTCTCAAAAGATCTACTCATCAGTATGCGATAAACATGACATTTTGGTGTGGATAGATAATTTTCTAGCCCATACACAGTATATGTAGTAACAGCACACATTTATTATAGTGGAAAAACTTTCTTCATTATCTCCTGAAGTTCTAACAGAGGTCAGCATTTGCTCGCAATATTACATCTCCACAGATAGCTATAAACTTCCACCTGATGATGATGTGCAATAAGCCATAAAATACTTTTGAAAAGCGTCATTGCACAGGTCAGACTATTACCTGTGTGCTTTGTTTTTTTAAAAGTGATTTAAGATTTAGAAGTCTATACCTTTGTTGCTTGCGCAGCTGTTCCAGCTCTACATTTTGTTCTGTTACTGTTTTCAGAAACACCTGATTAATCTGTAAACAAAATTATTTTAAAATATATTGTACTCCTGTTAAAAAAACAAACAAACATGAGAGCCAGTAGGCTAGTATGGTGAAAGTGCAGGGCTATGAATGCAGAGACCTAGGGTCTAGAATACCCTCAAGCAACTGAAGCTCAGAAGGAGATTGTCTACCAAAATTGCTTGCTTCCCCCCTGCTCTGCAGAGCAGAGCAATTTCAAGAATAAACAGCTAGCTCTTCTACACATAGAGAGCAATGCAATGGAGAGCACGAGAGGGCTGAGGTTGAATCACACTGCTTTTGATGTGTACAAGACAATAAGCAGGTACTTGAATGTCGCAAAGGGCAGGAAAATGGTTAGAAGGGACACAAAAACCTAAGATATGAAACTGACTACTGTTATCCCTTTACAGTGCAAAACACGTGGTCATGTAATTTCACATTAACAACCCCTTTACTTAGCAACGGAGTTGCCAGTCACAAAGTTGCTAAGCAAGACTACCTGTATTTTGCTTAGCAGCGACACAAAATCTTTCTCTTTCAACTAACCATGATTATAATAAAATTCATAGTTATGTGCTACTGGCTTTATTTCATTGAGACTTTTAAAATTGTCAATATATAAATAGTGTTTGTTCTAAATTCAGTGGCATTTCAAGGTTCTTTTGTTTTAGACGCACCAGCATTAACCATTGCTTTCAGTCACCTACATTAAAAAAAAATCAAATCCTTTCTTGCTTTATTGGTATCTGTTTGAATTTTGTTTCATTATTTTGTTTCGTTTACACTCACTATTGTTTTTGCTTAAAAAAAAAGTTTCTCATTTCAACTTCATTTGCTTCCAATAGTCATGTATTTAAAAGCAGAAACAAATAGAGGAAGAAAGAAAACATTTTAAACTAATACTGAATAGTCAAAGAAATAGGCAATAAAACTTAGTAATCATGGATTCTGCAGACAAACCTTTTCCTAAATAGCAATTAAACTAGAATAGATTAAAAATACAGTATAAGCTGCTATGTAATTTATAAACATGTAAGTAAAAAAACTTAAGACACAGCTTTAATAAAAGTGATATCTGTTTAATAAATGTATTTTCTTTTATATTTTTCTGCTGTTATGACTAGTCCAAAATAATGTTATTAGAATTTCAGTATTTCACTTACTGACTCAGTTTTTTCATTAGTTAAATGCAATTGTTTTGTTAGCTGCTGAAAGCTCGTCAATTGATCCTAGAAAGAAGATAATACAGAGCATTGGAATTACAATCCAGAGGATTTATGAACATAAAAATAAATGCTAAAACATAATATATTAAATATTTAGGTATTAAATTAAGTATTTAATACCTAAATATTTAATATATTAAATATATATATTTAATATATAACATTATTAGTGGCTGTTGTCCAGATTTGAGTCATCCAATTTATTTTTGGGAAAAAACATATAACAGCATAAGGGAGAAATGATCTAAAGTATTCATTTTTCTAATATTTTGTGTTTGTGTACACATCTACATGTCTGAGACTTGACAGAAGTAAATAGCTTCATATAAAACACTGTGGATAAAACACAATATATTTCTGCAACAACATTCAAAAGTTTTCAAGTGAATGAAGCACACTTATTGAATAAAATATACTTCTAAATTGAATAAATTACTCATAGATAATCCTATAACAAGTATTTTAAAATCCACAAGTCTTCAAAATCAAGCAAACATATCCTTTCCCTAAACATACATTCAGGTTTCAAACCTTTGGAAGTCACTGGGGAGCTGGATTCCAAGGGATCTAAACTGAAAGATCATTTTTACACACAAACACAAACCATTAGACTTTCCAAATGCATCATTTGAGCTTTATATACAGAGGATTTTATATTCCTTTCCTAAAGAGCAAATAGCGCAGTGGTTAGAATACAGTACTGCAGGCTACTTCTGCTTACTGCCAGCTGCCAAGAATTCGGCAGTTCAATTCTCACTGTCTCAAGGTTGAGTCAGCCTTCCATCCTTCCAAGATTGGTAAAATGAGGACCTAGATTGTTGGGGGCGATATGCCAACTCTGTAAATCGCTTAGAGAGGGCTATAAAGCATTGTGAAGCAGTACATAAGTCTTTAGTGCTATTGCTATTATGATCTCTCTCTCTCTCTCTCTCCTCTCTCTCTTTCTCCTCTCTCTCTCTCCCACCTAACTAAGTGGTTCACTCTATTACTTGCCCAAAGATCATTAAAAAACTCTTAGCTGAAAAAGCTGGTTATCTTGAGCTAATGGGAAAAAGTTGTATTTCTCTTTATTTTAATGCACATGTATCAGCATGTTACTTTTTGCTTCTGCCTTTCCACAATATGAATTTGTGCTTCTGTCATGTGTTCCTGGTATATCTGTTGAAGTCGCTCCAATTCCTGTGAAACCATCTGCCAAAGTTCTAGGACATGTTCTTTTTCCTTAAAATTAAAAGATTGAAAAAAGAATGTTAGAATTTTTCTTTCCAATTGTTTTTGAATATCAAATGTCTGAAAAAAATTATTACTTCATATCTATTATATAAATTTTAACATCATTTTATAATGAGATAAATGTTCCCTATATACTTAATTTATATTATAAATAAAAGCACAATTACCTGAAATTATGAACATCTCTGTGCCTATTAATGACAAAATAGCCTACAAATATTAGTGTGTTCTTCCTTTCTTGTTGTCATTTATTCAAAATTTCTATTTAATATCAGTTTATATCTATGTCTTGACATTAAAAATAAACATTAATATTAAAATCATATAACAAAAATGTGTCATAAATGAATGTGCCTAAATTGAAAGGCAATTTAGGACTATTGGAACCTATACATAAAAGTCAACCAAAGCAAATATTTCAATTTCCTCACTTTATTTGCTAGTTGCAACTGTTCTTGAAGGTTTCTTATTAAGTTTTCATCCATAAATGTAGCATCCCTTGAAACAGAACCAGATGGCAGAGCTTCCAACTGCTTTTCAACGGCTTCTTTTAACTCCTCATGCAATCTGTGTTTATCATACAATAAGAGGTGGATCCGTTGTAAAACAGTAACAAAATTATATTTTTATAAAGAATGGTTCTTCTGTCACAGTTAACAATTGTAACTCCAGAAAAAACACTTTAGTTATTCATGAAATAGCAACCACATTATTTCCAGCAATCCCCAGTCCCAGGGTATCTGTATTTATTGCACGGCAAAGGTAAGACAAAATACACTATCATTTCAATCAGTAGTTTCTTGCTATATGACACAAACAATACAGAATTAGTATAATTTTTAGGGCGTTACCTTTCATTTTCTTTGATGACTTGCTCAAGTTTTAGCCTCATTTCTTTCATCTGCATCTAAAAGCAAGAAAAAGATTAAATATTTTATTTTGAAGATACAATAGAGCACATGCAATACATATTCAGTATGATACTAAGATGCTTGAATGTCAATTAAAAATGTTGCCTTTTCTAGTTTATGAAGATGTCTCAAATTAGAAAGATAAACACATTTTGGAATTATTAACAAGTGACAATATTATTTTATTAGCCATGATTCAGTGATTTTTTTTAAAAATAAACATCTTACCAATAATATTTGAATTATAAACATTATGGTTAGGTTTTTTTAATTACTTAGTAAGCTATATTAGTGGTAAAAATAGCTATAACTTTGTACCTGGCAGTATTTCAGTTGTTCATTCATTTCTCCAAGATTTTTATCGTATTCAGCAACTATAGGAGGCAATGAGCTAAAAAGGATGTAAAATAAAGTCCACATATTGAGTGACACAATGCAGTTTAAAAAAAATTCTGGTAAAAAAGTGAAACTGAAGTGAATTTCCTTAAAAGCTTAATTCTGAACAAGTGGGATCACTTGTCCTATATGGATTCCCAAGAATATGAGGAGATGGTTTTTCTCTCTGCTCAGGCTGAACACTTTCACTTTGGGACACATGTATACCAGACACCCCAGAACTCATCTACATTGGGTAGAAAGCTAGAATCCCTAAAATAAATTTGACACACTTGTAAATGTCATCCTACTACAGATTATCAATATTTTATTTTGTATATCTTGACTCATAAAATATCAAGGGATTACAAACAAGCAAACAAGAATAATTTCATTTGAAGTAAAGAATCAACAATGTTCTGATGTAAACAACCCAGGATGCTTAACAACTATTTATTGTAAAAATTAGATATAACTTTAAAAATAGGTGAAAATGTTTAAATTCCTTCTCCTTTTGCATCAGTTGAAAAGAGATTTTATATAAGATATTTCCTCCCCTTTCAGTTTGCCCAGATAAAGGAGGGAACTCAAAATGATTTTATGAAGTTTTCTAGTAGAACCTTTACCTCCTACAAAATGACAGCTTTTATATATTTTTGAAAAAAATCAAACTCAATGCCAGTTATGTTAATATTTTTAAAACATGAAAGGAAAGAAAAGATCAGACTGTCAAGTTCTGATGTCATAAAACATTAGCTGCTAAGGCATGGAATGCTTGTGGAATTATTTTCCAGATAAAAGAGTCAGGTTCAGCTAAGCATGATTAAATTATTGGCAAAATATTTAGAAGACAAATGGAGAGTTTTGATAAATTTGTTTGTGATTGACTTAAGAACCACTGAAATGAATAACTTAACTTTAAATTCCATTAATTTCAGCAGATCAACTCTCTATATAATTACATCTGGATGCAGTTCACGGAATCATATTTTTTTTTCTTATTTTTTAATCACAAATCTAATTCCTCTATCCTGAGTACAGTATATTAGTTTAAATTATGTGTACACAGAGTTTTACATACATACACACATAAAACAAGATCAAGATAAAAAAATAATAGATACTTCACTTGTTCATTTTTGAAGAACATTTCCAGGCATCAATATATCTTTTTATAGGGTGTTTTGAAATTGCATTTTATAAATTATTTAGAATACCAAATAAATAGCTTTACCTTTGGTCTACCAGGATGTGCTCTGTTGTACTGTCATCTTCAAAGCCATTATTCTGAAAACAAACATTTTATTTTATTGAAATTTATCTTGTCATAAAAAAATATTTAAAAACTTCTAAAATTTAACTCTATAGATCTTCATATTTAAATCAAAGTATTCCCAATGTATTCTCTTATAAGGTGCATTGGCCATCTAAAATTTTAATTAATAAATAAAAATAAAATTCCATATGGATTCAAATTGAATTCAAAGAGCATAAACCTAGTTTTTCGTATCTTAGTCTGTTTTCACATTTATATATTATTTAAATTCTTTGATTATTCTCAGAAACTCAAAATAATGACTTTAATAGAGAGAAATATTTGCCAACTATATTATCTTATGATAAGCAAGAATGCAGCTAATTATTTATTTAGTATTTCATTTAAATGTTAAACCTGAATGAAGGGTCATCAATTCCATTAAGGGCATTTCTATTGTTTTTCTTTCAGTGGCAACCAGTATCTTGTTTTGCTTTTATTTTATTTCATATCAGCTACTCCTTTTGATTACTGATAAACTAGCAACTAAATTTCATTTCTGTTTTGTTTGGAGATGGATGAAAGAAAAGAAGAATTGATAGCTGATAAAATTATAGGACTACTAGGTTTGGACTTCAAAATCCAGATAATGACTAAAAGAAACAAGAAGATACAGAAAATTGTAGTCCTAAAAGTATGCCGTTTACAGAAACATTTATGGGCGCATCAGGAGCAACAGAAGTGAAAAATAGTGAAAGACTCACAATATGTTAAAATAGACATATAAATGTTTATAACAAACAAATGTACCATAATTTTCTTAAATTTGCATGTTTTAAAAAATTATCCTGAGATTTTGGCAGGATCGCTCAAATCTTACAGGAATCAGCGATACTGATTTACAATATTCTGTTGAAAGGTGCTGTTTTTGTTTTTTTGTTTTTTTTTTTAAATTTGATTTATATGCCGCCCTTCTCAGGGCGGCTTACAATGCGTTAAGCAATAGCCTGTTGATGTCATTAGTACAGCCACCATCACAAGAAACAGTATTTCTACTGTATATGACAAAGACTTGGTTTTTAATAATGCTCAAGGCTCAATCAGCTGTAGTGGAAGTGGCCAAATGTAACTGTTTGGTAAAAAATAAATAAATAAATGTATTCAGGCACATTACATAAATAAGCTGCTTTATAGAACGTTCTCTTTTTCAAAAATGAAAATATAAGCACCTTGTAATAGTAGGTAAGCAAATTTAACTAAATGATTTGCAGGGTCCTTTATGTGATGCTTAGCATAGGTTAAACAGTACAACCAAAATAGAATCTAGAATTCATGAAACAAGGATATGAAAAAATGTACATCAATTTAATACCGTCTAATCATACTAACCCTCCCTTTACAGCCTCCATCAAATTACCAGTAATGCATCAAAAGCGATAACCTCCAGTCAAAAATAAAGGTTGATGATCCCTGATATCTAGTACCTAAATTATATAATACAATATAAATGCATTTTAATGAAATTATATACAGAATTTACCTTGATATCTGTTGCCATTTTTGAATCTTATTAGAATTTCATATAAAGTTTCTAGGAAGCTGATTTGCTTTTCAGGAGCAGAAACACAAAATCTATGAAATAAAATAAATATAACCGGCAAACACAGTTTATAATTGCTTTGGACTTTACTTCTAAATCTTAAATTCTTAGGAAGAAATGCACAACAGGCTGAACAGCTTCCACAAAGCCTGCAACAATGCTGTTCAACTTCAGAGCTGTAATCCTGATGTTATCGATGTCAACCACAAAAAAAAAAAGAAAAAAAATCAATCAGATATTTGAAAAGTCTATTTCTTATTCAGTCTTAATAATATCATGTTTTTATCTTTGGATAGAAAAATTAAGATCGAATGCTAATTAAAAAAAACGGGAACGTAAAACTGACTCTGGCGGGGAATGGGGAAGACCCGCTGCGCTCGCCTCGGGGGTGGGGGCGAGGCGAGGCGAGGCGAGGCTCGCCTTTTGGCCCTGGCGCGCTGGGCTACCGCGGGGCTTCCGGGCGACTGCCGCCCGCTTGCCTTCCCCTCAGCCTCGGGTCCTGCATCCAGCACCGCTTCCGAGCCGGCCCGGCCAGCGGTCGGTTGTCTGGGGAAACGCTGAGCTGGGGCCGCTCCGCTGCAGTGCGCATGTGCAGCCACGGGACATCAGCCCACCCTCCCGGAACGCCGCCACTACCGCCACTCCGCTTTCTTCCTTATACCTCCGCCGCCGCTGCTCTGGAGCTCGCCTTTTTATAATTCTTCCTATTATTAGGGATAGGGAGACTATCCCTAATTATAGTTGTGAGAATCGTAATATGTTACCAGTTGTCATTGGAGAATCTGACTCCGAAAACTCACTTCTGATGGCCAACATCTAAATCACCTACAAGATTCCACAGGTAGGATATGTATGTACACAAGAAAGTTTAATATCCTACTTCACACTCTTTCTTAGCCCTTTCTAAGGCTTCACAAAACCAAGAAAAAGAATATAGAAAAAAAGGATTTACAATCAGTTGCCGGGGACCTGATGGATTGTCTAAAATTTCTTTTATAGCTATTAAAATTCTCTCTATGGTTTATGTACAAAAATGGGAAATTCTAAACAGATTTCTAAAGAGGTTCATATACATGTATGGCAAATATTAGAAAATACAAATAACACGTGTACATATATGTTTAAAAAAATAAATAAATACAAACCTGTTAAGGTTTGTTTTGGTTTCTCATATTACATTTACTCTGTAGTTTTCAAATGCATTAAATATGTAAGTGACCGTTCAAAAAGTTCAAGTCAGATTTTTCCCCCAAATGAATATTCATTTTGTTGTGTACTTCCAGAAAACTAAAACTAAACATTAGTTATCGAATGCTTTATGATAGAAATGAAACAAAACAGAAGAGTTGTACTTTTTTCTTCCCACGAAGGTAGAGAACTCGAATTGTAAGCAGTTATAAAATAACACCCACACACACCACATTCATGGGAAGAAAAAAATAAAACCAAGCAACATAAAAATGCTTCACCATTATTGTATTTGATTAAATAGTCAAGCTAAGACCGTCACAAATTATACGGTAGAAGCACTCCAGTTCAAATCACCTTTTAACTCTATTTCTTTTTTAAATATCCAAAACAAAATAAAATATCTGTACCGTAACTAACTTACTAAGAAAATAGAAATGTCTACTTTTGTATGTACAATATAACTTAGTTAAATGATAGATACGTAGGAACTTTAATTTGTAGATTTCTATAGGAGAATTTATAAGATAAATAAATTTGTTTACTCGATTGTTGTTTTTTTTAAAAAATGCTTTTTAAATGAGGTTGTTTATGGCTTTTTTTGCTTTGCTGGCTGGGGAATTCTGGGAGTTGAAATCCTCCAGGCTTAAAGATGCTAAGGCTTGCTTAGACCCCTGCTTAGACCCTCCTTCCTCCCAAATGAATAAGGAATTAAACTTAATGTAATTTCATATTTAAAGATAGGTAAAAATCAGGTCCCTTACCTGGAACTAATCCCAGTTGAATTCCAGCGGCGAGAGTAGATGCAAGAGAACTGGGCTGGGACTCCTCTATCCAGAAGGGCTATTTTTGCATCGGCACCGTTTGCTCTAAAGGAAACCTACCCATGGTGAATGGGGTTACGCGTGGCAATAAGCTTTAACTAGACAAGAACGCATTTAGGGGCGGGGGAGAAAAAAAAAGATGGTGTATTGTGTTGGCTGCAGAGGGCGTCACCCCTAGGTTGGTAGCTTGCCTTTAGCTAATTCTCTCTCAGAAGTGAGACGGAAAGGAAAAGGAGAAACTTGCTGAGCGGAAGGTGGACTGTTTAAAGCCCATCAGCGCAGGCACGAAGACGAAACCATCCAACAAATCTGGAAATAGCTGCGGGTTTCACTTTAAGCAACGTCACCTCCCTCCCCTCCAATCACCGCCTTTCCCCCAGGAGAGCGGCACGCGCCGCTTAAATCGCTTGTCCCCCAACGCCGCCGGTTTCTTAACGACCGACTTGGCTTGTGAAAAGGTTTTTTTAAAAAAAAAAAAAAAACGGTGGGCGGGGAGATTGTGCACGGTGTCGTCAGGTGGGAAAAAAAGAACACAAAACCCCCGCCAATCGAATTCTAGTTGGAGCTTGCGCGAGAGTTCTTTGCCATTGGTTTAAAAACGGTCACATGTTTCGTGTCTTCCTTTTCCTTTGCATGGAGACGCTGCTGGGTAAAAGTAACGGGGGGTGATGAGCGCAAGTGCGGTCGCTCCGTTTGAGTGGTGTGGTTTTGGTTAGGGAGGTTTGGATTACCAGCAGGAGGGAGATCAGATTGCAAACTTCCGTTCTTAGCCTCGGGAATACGGGTGTTCCTAAACTCACGGGAGCTTTCTTTAAGTAGCTATAGCTCAGGGGTCTCCAACTTGGCAACTTTAAGACTTGTGGACTTCAACTCCCAGAATTCCTCAGCCAGCAAAGCTGGCTGAGGAATTCTGGGAGTTGAAGTCCACAAGCTTTACTGGCTGAGGAATTCTGGGAGTTGAAGTCCACAAGTCTTAAAGTTTCCAAGACCCCTGAGCTATAGTATAGGTTCTCCTGCTTGACCAGGGGGCTGGACTAGAAGATCTCCAAGGTTCCTTCCAGCTCATTTATTCTAAAGTTATAAAAGCTCCACTCAATGCTGGTCATGGGTGGATTTTCTTTTAGGATTTGTCTTTAGTTTTTGAAATATCCCCATTCCCATGCTCTCTCCTTGCAGAATTACTGGTTTTGAATAGTTGGTTTGGCGAGCAAAAATTTAACCATTGAAACCACGTAAGCATTTAAAGGCATTTCATGCAAAATAATTGGCAATCTGAAGGAGATAAGATTATATTGTATACCTTTGTGGATGTATGTGTGGATATGTGCACACATAAACTTTGTGGCAGTGTTAACAATGACCAGAGCACTTCTTGGTAAACATAACCAATAAGAAACTTGGCCAATAAGATTAAGCCAAGTATGAGCAATTATCTGTCTATGGATGCTAAAAAAAAAGACACCAGAGTTTTTTGCCGTTTTTGGATGAGGAATGGATAAAAACAGTAGTATATGTAGCAGGGGGAGAAGGGAATAAAAGGAGGGGCTTGGCTGGAGGGAAGAAAAAAAAAAAGAGGGAAGGTGAGGAGGAGGAAGGATGCCAGGGGGGAGAGGAGGCATAAGAGGACAGGATAGCAGAGGCTTCTGTGGGCCAAGCCTGAGGGAGATAAGGGGACAGGATGGCAGAAGCTTCTGTGGGCCAAGCCTGAGGGAAATAAGGGTAGCAGAGACTTCTGTAGACCAAGGCTGAGGGAGATAAGGGGACAGGATAGCAGAGGCTTCTGTGAGCCAAACTTTATACTCAGACCCAGTCTGGAATCTGCTAAAGACTCTGGCTGCAGGGAACACCTGCGGGCATCATGAGCTCATAAAGAGAGTTAGAGCAACAGAGGTGGTGGAGGGAGTCAAAGAGGTCACAGCTGATCTGCCACCCGAATGGCCTCCAGGTGCATGAGTGTCAGCTGTTACTCCCAGAAAAACATAGGGAAGTAGTACTGATTGCAATACATGATGATGAGCATGGGCATCTGGGGCCCGAGAGGACCTTCAAGTTTGCGAGAGATCGGTTCTTCTGGCCTTGTATGAAGAAAGCGGTTGAGGACTACTGTAAATCCTGCCTTCATTGTATCCAGCAAATGAACCTACCCTCCAAGGCTGCATCGATGGGTCACCTGCAAAGTTATGGACCCATGGATCTAGTTTATGTCAACTTCTTGTGTCTGGAACCTGAATATATTGGTTGTGACTGATCATTTCACTCGCTATGCACAGGCCTTCCCAACAAAAGATCAGCGTGCCAATACGGTAGCCAAGATACTTGTAGAAAAGTTTTTTGTAACTATGGGCTACCTCAGCACATACATTCTGACCAAGGCAGAGATTTCGAGAGCAAACTTGTCAAACAATTGCTGGATATACTGGACACTCAGAAGTTGTGCACCACTCCCTACCACCCACAAGGAGACCCACAGCCTGAGAGGTTCAATCGTACTTTTCTTGACATGACTGCAGAAAAGAAGCAACACTGGACACAACACATTTCTACTGTTGTATATGCATATAACAGCATGGAAAATGATACTACTGGGTACTCTCCATATCGACTGATTTTTGGCAGGGAGGCTCGACTGCCAGTAGATACAGTGTTTGGCATCTCTATGTATGAAACCTCACTTCACACCGCACTATGTGGACCGGTTGAGGAGGAATCTGAAAAGGGCATATGAGAAGGCTCAAACCATTTCAGAGGCCCGAAAACAGAAACGAGGAACTATGACCTGAAGGTGAGAATTCAAGATTTGCAACCTGGTGATTGGGTATTATTGCGAAATCTGGGCATTTCTGGAAACAATAAACTGGCAGACATGGATCTCCCAGCCATACATTGTCGGTGAGAAGCTATCTGGATCGCCAGTATACCAGATTCAACCAGAAGGGAGTTTAGGGCTTCTGAAAGTGTGGTACTGAAATCATCTATTGCCTCTGAATGAGGCAATACGAGCATCTTGGCCGCCTGATCCACAGGAGACTGAATGAACCCTGTCTGATAAGGAAGAGACCAGTGGCTCGAGCAAAGCCTGCTCCATCCACAGAAAGAGGAGAGGAGGATGGTGATGAGGAAGAGGACTGTATGAACTGGTTGTGGTCACCGGAGTACATTGTAACAGCCACCTCCTCATTGGGCACTGAGATGGGTCCCAAGCAGCTCAGGACAGATGCCCCTTCGTTTGTACCTCAATCTCAAGAACAGGGAGAAGTTTTTGGAGAACCACAGTGGAAGACTGATGAACATTCCAAGCAGCTGCCAGAACTGGAGAGAATGCTGCCAAATCCAACGGTTCCTGGGCTGGAGGGACTTCTGGGGAAAGACTCAATACTCTCACATGCCTTGCAACAGCCAGAACCAGAGAATGTGCTTCCATCCCTGGAGACATTTGGGTGCAAGAAGTCTCCAGAGGATGACTCACTCATCCCAGCTGAGCCCAAAGAACAGACTGAAAGAGTGATACATCCCCTTAGAAGCTTGACATATGATGTTCTGGGCCACAGCATGGATGAGGCAGTACTCACTGCTAGATGAAATCCTAATCCATCCCCTGACACTCCAGACTCTTAGTAAGCACTTAATTCTTTGGTCCCCCATTCTTTGGGGGACCAAAGAATTTTTGGGAGGGGGGAGTGTGTAGCAGGGGGGAAAATGGAATAAAAAGAAGTTTGGCAGGAAGGAGAGGAGATAGAGGGAAATGCAAGAGAAGGAAGGAGGGGTTTGGCTGGAGGGAAGAAAAAAAAGTGGGAAGGTGAGGAGGAGGAAGGGATGCCAGAGGGGAGTGGAGGCATAAGAGGATAGGATAGCAGAGGCTTCTGTGGGGCAAGCCTGAGGGAGATAAGGGGATAGGATAGCAGAGGCTCCGACAATCTAAGTCATGCAAAACACCAATTTTTGATAAGGATAAACGAAGTGATGTGACAATTGTTGAAGTTCATGCTACCCTGAAAGTTGTAAACAGCAACATGTATTGCAGTTGTGTACCTGTTCTGACTAATGCCCTTAAAAACAACAGTATACTTTATTGTTTACATGATAGGCTCTATTATCACTATTTTTAAATCCAGATTAAAGATTCTATTTGTGCCTTTCTAATTATTGGCAAGTCACCAGATCAAATAAAGGGAAATTTGTTTTCTCTGGCAAATTTCCTTCCTATCAATTTTAAATCAATCTTGCACTTTTGTTCAGATGATGTTCAGCACTTTTTCAGCATTAATATAGAAATATTAACAATGTGGAAAAAAAGCTGATTTACATATTTATATGTTGTGATCACTGTGGACACCCTGTGGTGAAAACAGGTTGAAACAGGTACCAAAATTAGGAGAAAAAGCGTGAAATTCCTGGAAGACATTTTATATGCATAGTATCAATATAAACTTGCATGTATCTAATGTTTTGCTGCTCCCATGTATTTTTAGTGTGTGTGAACAATGGTAGAATATCCTATGATGAGTAGTTAAGATGTACAGGTGAGTAATAAGCCAATATAGGTACTATGATGTAGGTATAGGTATAGTTTTAATTTTCACTTGCATTAAGGTAATTTGTTATTTTGATTTTAGATGGGCAGCATATTTCTTCTGTTTTTATGTTTTCAAGGCATAGTCCAAGATAATTAAGCATAAGAAGCTGTCATCAACTTTTAGACAGAAATGTATGTGCCATGTGTTGTTAACATTGGTCTTCAAAAACTTGAAGAAATCATGGTGATGTTTTAAAAGCTATAAGACCTACTAATATATTGAATATGTTTGGAAGTCATATACAGGGGTGGGATTCTGGACAAACTGATAGCTCCGACAATCAGCTGGGAGCGAACCGGTTTGCTCCAACGATTTGATGGGCCCACCTGCACTATTTTTCTACCTTTATCTTTTCAGCCAATTAGCACGGCAGAGCGGATTGCTGCGCGCTTCAACTGTGTTACTCCCCCGAAGAAACGCGGAAGTGAAGATTTCTTTAAATTGCACAACGCATGCAGTGAAGCGTGCAATCACTGAACCGATTGTTAAATCAGGAGGATCCCACCACTGGTCATGTATGTATGTATGTATGTATATATGTATATATGTATATAATAAAAAGTTAAGTGAATGGGATTTATTTTAAGGAAATGCCTATCAATGAAATAGATTCTGAAAGTAAAAAATGGTAAATATATGATTAATAATTCTATAATCGGCAATAATAATGTAATATCTTCAATTAAAAGACATTTTAATTTATTAATATTTATGTTAAATATGTAACAATTTTTCTTGATATAAAATACTTAGATGGAGTTTAAAATAGAACATACATGGAACAGCCTTCCAGTGGCCCATGATCCAGTAATAATCAATCTGAGTCCAGAAAATGCTGGAATACTGATGGAATTGAATGCCCCATTTTTCAATGATCCTCCAGCTCCTCCTGGTGAACCAGGAAAACCATTCAATGGATTATGGGACTATGAGGGTAAATAAACATTATTTTATTAGGACTTAAAATCTTGACTATTCTGATAGCAATTCTTGCCTAGAGGTTCATTCCCTCCCCTTTTTATAAGTACACACTGTAGAAAAAGGCTGATGTGCCAAGTATTCCTATTTCGGTGCCTACAAGCTATTTTGTTTTCAGCATTTCTTTGCTACTGGATTAATTATATAAGGATTTACATTTTTTATAGAGGTCAAACCCTGAATTTAGCTTGAGAGACACAATATGCATTTATTTTAAATAAATTCTACTGATAGTCCTATTGCTTTTTCCTATGAACAGGATAAACTATAATGTCTAACCATAAGCTATGGCAGCAATTAAAGTCTTACACTTCTTTCAGAACATAAATAGTCAGGTACCATAATCAAATACAAAGTGGCTAAGTAGTTCTAGCAAGAAGACTTAATTTTTTTGGTGAATCAATTTTCAGACTTTTCATAAACACTTGTCAGGGTTAAAGTTAGAGTTTGTATTCAGCTCTTTCATATGATGAAAATCTGCTGTTTGCATAGCACTTCTACACTTCTGTCTGTTTTTAAGCAAACCACTCTGCTATTTGAAGCCTGCCATCTTTCATACTAGATAAATGAATTTGCAGAAATACTTGATCAAAATAAGTTTTATGTTATTAATGAGGCCTCCAACTGCTCAGCATGTTGCTGGCTTTTTTAGTTTACTGATTTTCATACTGGTGTCAAAAGTTTTTAAACGTTTTGATAAATCTAGTATCTTAAATATTTGCATATTCATATGCAAATCTGCAAATATCAGGCTGTTAGAAGTTTAATGCAAATTAATTTTGTTGTAAGTCATATATTACTACTTAGACAGGCTTTTCTGATCTTATCAAGATAACATTACCCTCTTGAAGTAAGTTTCATAAATTAGCCAATTATCTGTCTTCATTATCACTCCCCTTACTTCATTATGACTGTTCAAATTAATTAGTATTTGAAATATTTTTCCTGAACAAAAAAAATTCTGTGAAATGAAACTGATGTGTTTAATTGGCTGTTTGATTTTTCCATTTGATGTTTCTCTAATGCCACTGAAATTGAATTGTTTTATCCTGAACATAAGGTTTTTCGCTTTACACCATTGTTTTACAAAAAGGAAATATATTAAAGGAATATGCAACCAGTTCAGCATGTACATGTACATTTAAAAAAAATGCTTATCAGTTGAAGACAAAACTTAGCTAGTGCATTTTATGAGTTCTAAATGTGTTGAGACATTTATTTCCAGAACAACTTCAAATATGGATTTAAAAGTTAACAGCGTATGAGTGCCAAGTGGGAGTTTGCATGAAGAAGTTGCACATTGTGAAAGAAATATCTTGGAGAAGCCATTTGGATAGACCTGTCTTTAATTTTTCACCCTAATTGCATTAAAATGCAGTATTATGATTTCTAAGTAGTTATTTTTCAGACATGTATTTAGTCCATTAAGTCTGAACTTCTGTCAAAATTTGTCATAGTTTTAAAGCAATGGTGGCTGTAATAAAGCATTTCCAATGCTTCTGATAGAAACCTATACAGTTCGCTTAGATTCTGAATAATGCTAGTAGGTTTCTGAAAAAGATTTTGTAATCTTTTGCATCTTTTTGTATGTTTATGTATGCGTGCCTTTGAGTCAGTGTTGACTCTTGGAGAATCTCTGAAAAATTTTGAAAGTGTTTGCTGTTGCCTTCTCTCCTAGAACTGAGAGACGGTCACTGACACAAGTTTACCCAGTTGGGTTCATGCCTAAAGCAGGACTAGAAATTAGACTCTCCCAGTTTTTAACTACTACACCAGACTAGCTCTTACCTTTGCATCATTAGGATAGATAAAATAAGACTGCAGTTATGGATGTTGTATTTAATGTTCTTTGTGGCTATATGAAATACACAAAGTAAAATAAACAATTGTTATGTGGTTTTAGTTGTAGAAGCCTTCTTCTTGAATTACCAAACCCAGCAGTACCTAGAAGTAGAGCTCTGCCCGTAAGTAGATATTTTCAGATAATTTTTAAAATGTTCTATAGCAGTGGTTCTCAACCTGTGATCCGTGGACCCCTGGAATGCTATGATGTCATCACAGGGGGTCCATGAAGGCTTGAAGAAATGTTACGATTTAGTGTTATGATCTTGAATTAAGTCTTGGTGGTCTGTGGCCACCTTCAAGCACCTTAACTCCTGGCAACTGCCTGGACAAGTTACTGCAGTTTTCTTGGGAAGATTTTGGAAGTAGTTTGTCCTTGCATCCTTCCTCAAGCTGAGAGAATGACTGGCTCAAGGACTCCCAAATGGTTTCATGCCTAAGGCAGATTAGAACTCATCATCTGCCAGCTTCTAGCCCATTTCCTGGTTTCGAGCTTAGTACTTTAACCACTATAACAAACTGGCTTATATTTTTGAAATTATATTTTAATTATGTTTTAATGTCCATAGTCCATTTAAGTGGCTGGCTTGGCTTGGGTTTTTCCCTCCCGTTTTGTCTTTAGTAGAGTGGTGATGCAAATAAGGGAATGAATTGGTGGTAAAAGTTCATAAATGCCAGGAAGCTTTGTAGTTGCTTCCTGGTGTGGGAGGAGTCCACTCTAGCACTGCCTGCACCTTTTTGGGGTCCATCTCTGTACCCTCGTGGGAAATGTAGTAGCCCAGATAGTCAATTTTACTCTGGTGGAATTTGCATCTTGGCAGCTTGGCATATAATTTGGCTGCTCAAAGCTTCTTGAGCACATCTCTGACTAGTTTTATACTGCCATAGTCTCAGTATAGATCAAAATGTCATTCAGGTAAACTAACACTCCCTTGTAGAGCTGTTCATGCAGCATTTTGTTTAATAGCTGCATGAACACAGCAGGGGCCCCTTGCAGTCCAAAAGGGAGGACCCAGAATTGGAAACATCCTAAGGGGGCAATTGAAAGCCATGTGTGAACATGATGGAAAATAGGGAAGGGGGAATGATAGGTAATAAAGACGAGAGCAGCCCGGATCCAGTTTGTACCAGAATCATAAGGCCAGGCATCCTGAGAAAATAATGTGGATTACCCCCAAACATCTCAGCATTCTTAAAACATTTTGGTGAGCTCTGATTTCCTGGAAATGGACTGGTCATGGGGAAATGGGAAATTCAAAGCTAGCCTGACTTTACTGCAGCCAACACCTTTAGTTAAAGAATCTTTTTTTAACCAGATAGAGTCAAGGGTCTTTCTTTCCCAAGGGATCACATTGGGGAAGAGCTGATATTAGATTTATGCAGCTGAAGAGGATCTAGTACTAGGAATTGCTGTCTAGGTTTTAAGGTATCACTCTTGGTACTATGTACTTGTTTGGAATTATTCTGTACCTTTTAAACAGTCTTGGGAAATACTTTGTGGTGGTGTTTCATAGCAAATAGAGAGCATAAAAATAAATGAACCCACAACCTACTTTTACAATGACCAACTAGAAATTCCTATCCACGTTTTATAAAGTAACTGCTGCTTTTTACAGCTTGAATAAAAGAAGAGCAATGTTATTAGGGCAATGAAAAATAGCATATTAAAAGACTACAGATAATAATGCAATGCAGAATTATATAGTGATTAGAATGCATCTAAGAGGACAAGAGGCTTTGATAGTTTGGGCTTCCTGTAATTGAAGCATAAAATAAAAAGATGCTAATTCTTTTTGGTTTCTATGATTATCAGTTTTTTCATAATTATTCTTTTTGAGGTATGCCCCGAAAGCAAAAACAACAGCAACAGTAAAACTGTGATAAACTAATTACAATTCTGATAATCTATTTGAAACTAGTTTATCAGGATTTCATATTTTGAGGAAATCTGCACCCCACCAGACAATTGTATTATCATACAGGCTGCTTACAGTAGTAGCAAAATGATTCAAAATGATTTTATACCATACACAAATAGAACAAAGTGAGACAGGGTTTAAGACTACTACATTCTTAGTACCATACATAGACACGAAGAACATAAACTAGACCATGTTATTTAAAGAATAGAGATGCATTCAGGTTGAATTCAATTTCAGATGATTATTTAGACAAAACTATTTTTCTTGGAAATAGTATAGAAATGTTTTGCCACTGTTTTCTTCTGGGATCTTTAAAGAAAAATTCCAAGTTTAACAATCAATCCTAGACACCCTAATACATGAGTGTCAAAGTTGCGGCATCACATTGCTGTCACATAATGTATCGTGATGTTTTTCCCTTCGCAGAGCTGGGGTGGGTGTGGCCTGCTTGTGACGCATCCGGCCTATGGGCCACCAGTTAGAGACCCCTGCCTAGTAATCTTCTATCCAGGTACAGGTAGTCCTTGACTTACAACAGTTTGTTTAGTGACCATTCAAAGTTACAACACCAGTGAAATATGTGACTTACGAGCATTGTTCACAGTTACGACCCTGTGATCAAAATTCAGGTGCTTGGTAACTGGTTCATATTTATGACCATTGAACTGTCCCAAGGTCATTGTGCTCACTTTTGTGATTTTTATGACAAGCAAAGGGGAAGCCAGATTCACTTAACAACTGGATTACTAACTTATCAACTACAATGATTCCCTTAACAACTACAGCAAGAAAGGTAATAAAATGGGACAAAATTCACTTAACAAATGTCTCACTTAACAACAGAAATTTTGAGCTCGTAAGTTGAAGACTACCTATATTAATAGGACCTAACTCAGCTTAGCTTCTGAACCAAATGAGTTCAGAAATGGCTAATATGCAACTGTGTTTGTGTGTATCTCTAGCTCAGGATACATATACATAATGGCTAAACATTTACAGGAAAATTTATTAAAAGTAGTCCTGTATCTTTAATATTTACATATTCATTTATTAGCTGATGACTGCTATTTTGCATGTTGACAGCATTGCCTTCATGTAACAACTAATAAGTAGACTCTGGATGGAGATACAAAGCAAATATTTTTCTGTTATCTTTATATTATATTTTTATAGGCATGGCCAACATCTTGTATTGTTCCTTTGGGGCAGGCGCAATATCTGCAGAGTAAGTGAACTATTTAAGCTAATTTCCCTCTAAATATGTGAATGACTCTGAGAAGATGGTAAATCTGTTGTTTTAATTTTTTTTTACTTTAACACAGAAAGAACTTCCTTTAAAATTTGAAGTTTCAAGAACAACTACCAAATGGAGGGGCCGTGCTCATTTGCCTTGGAATTATTTTCCTCCCAACACTGACAGATTTAATGCATTTGCAATTCATGGATCAGATGTGAACAAAACATATGAAGCTCTCTATCCTATTCCTCAAAATGAAGTTCACAATAACCAAAAACCTGATTTGTAAGTATATCTGGGATGCCATTTTTTATATTATGATTATTGAAAGGCTAGTATAGGGAAGAGAATTTTACTGCCCTATATCCTAAGAATAAAGTTTTATAACTTTATTATATTTACACTCCACTTTTCGTACAAGATCTCAGATGGCATGCATAGCAACCTCCTATTTTCCAAACAAATAGTGAGAAGAGTTGGGTTCAAAGAGCAGATAGGGTCCAAAGTTATCCATTGACTTCTCTGAGACAGAGTTTGAGCTTTAGGCTGTCTATCAAACTGTAACCCTCAAACCACTATAGGTTTGAGAATAAATTTACCAAGAAAATGTAGATTAACTTTGGAATTATTTCTATTTATTTAGAATCTACCAACAGCCCATTTATTATTGAACATAATAATAAAACATCTGTCCCTTAAACCACTGATAGCAAAATCTACTTAAACTCGATTCTCCTGTTTCATATAATATACAGTATAAATATTGTTTAGCATATTTCAAATATATTTTTTCAAGTATATATTCAAATATATACATTTATGTAATGAAATAAAAATATTCATATATTTCTTGTCTTTTATATACTTCACCTTCATTATTTTGCATCCTTTCTGGGGCCTGGAATTCAATAATATGCTGTATTCCGTGCACATTGATATATCCTGAATGCCTATTGGTGGTTATCTAATTTTTACCCATCTCCAAATCCCTAATTAGTATCATATAGTCAGCTTTATGAAAATAAATTAATTTGTAGGTTTAGAAAACATTAGGTTAGCAATTTTTTCACAGCTCAGAAACTTCCTCAGAATAAGCATTTAGGTATGTGCTGAATGGGGCATTATTTTGCTTAGATAGTATCTTCAGAATAAACTGCTAGTGCTGCTTGCCTATCCCATCCGGTGCACATATATTTAACTGATTGGTTTACCTTAATTTGGCATAGTGGTCTATCTGAAAGTCTTACATATTTACAGAGAATACTGTATGTTTCCTAGCAAAAATAGAAAGATATAAAACAGTTTTTTTCAACCTTAGCAATGTTATAATGTTCGGATTTCAAAATTCAGAATTTGCAAGTCAGCCTCCCTGACTGGAGAATTCTGGGAGTTGGAATCTACACATCTTAATGTTGCTAAGGCCGAAAAACACTAGTATAAAGTGTGATATTTAAAACAGTTTGATAATATTTATATAGAAACAGCCGGCAAAGATGTGAACTTTGTTTCTTGAATAAATGAGTTATCCTAGCATTCTAATGTAGTACAGAATTTTAATTATTCTTTGTAGCAATTCAATAGGAGGAGAAAGGATGAACATAGCTGTTAACTCTTTGCTTGCTTTACTCTTGCAGCCATCGTCTGGAATATTTTAAAAAATTCAGTTTCAAACAATTAATGGGAGAAGATTGGAAACAGATTGAATCAGACTTGTGGGAATCATGTGTGAGATGAAAAATGCAAGAATATCATAAAGATTTGGCTGAACAAACTTGTGGGCGGATCTTTCTTTTTATGCCTTCAGGTGGCTTTCTTTTGAGGAAAAGGGATATTTATCAAATTGTTAGAAAAGAATTTGGAAAATATAACTGTTGCAAGATTATTGTATGGAAAAAATGGAAACACAATGAAAAACATTCAGAGAAAATTTGACTTTAAAATTAATTGAATGTACAGAAATGATGAAGCTGACTTGTCTGGTGAGAGAGAGAAAAAGAGAATAATCTTTTTGGAAACCTTATATGAACATTTTGCTGAAAGAAAAAAAATTAAATCAATGATTTCAGAATTTAAAAGGGACAAAGTGGATGATAAAAATATTAATATGATAATTACTTGATAGAAATGCAGATGGATATTTGTATGTTATCTTATTTCATTTCCTGAAATTTTCTCTTTTCCTTACTATCTTGTTTGTTCTGCATACTTTTTACTTTTGCTATATTGAGATATATATGTTCGTATGTGAGCATATGCATACATGGACACTCAATACAGCTACTTTATTTCTTTTAAACTTTTATAAAGATGACAAATTAAGCGATTATGGAAGACAGAGGTGAATCACTTTAGTTACTACATAAAAATGAAGCAGGGACATTAACCCCCAGTTCTAATGCAGATTAATATAGATTATTGGACACAGTTGGATATAGTTCTTTTACAGTACTAGAAAGTCTATAGTGGATTAAATGAAAGAGTCTTGGCATCAGGGAAAATTTATAGATATGGTTATAAAAAAAATATAAACTCTGTGTCTGTATATCTTTATAATATAATTATCAGTACCTGGAATCGTGTAAAAGTTTTGCTTCCTTTCATCTTTGCATTTATTTAAATAAAATCATAACAGTTTATACTCTATTAATAGAGTTTTTATTTATGGTGTGAAAACAGATGCCAATTGAATTTAGTAGACTTAGTCACAATATCTGCCTTTAACCTTTATATAAAAGTGGCCAAGTTTATTTTTCTTTATTTCTACAATTTATAGGCCACTTAGCTCCCAATAACTCTGGGCATCTTACAATTATAACATTCAAAAAAAGAAGAAGACAAAAGACATAAAAGAGACTATAAACAGCCTGAAGGCAAACATATGAACCAAAACAAACCCATCTGGTAGGTGCTTAACCTTCAGCCTGCCTCAAAGCCAGGGAAAATAACTATGTCTTTAATAGTTTCCTCAATGTCATCAGGGTGAGAACCATCTGGATCTCATGACGGAATACCTTTCCAAAGAAGGCACATTTCCTGGATTATGCATTAGACACTTCTTGGTTGATGGGACCTACTCTATCCAATCTCATTAGATGGGCAGAAGCAACTAGAGACAGGTCTTCCCTCAAATAATGCACTGCGTTTTAATCAGAATGGGATTTATTTAATTTTGGCTTAATGTTGCCATGGTTCTGGCTTAGTCTGTTATACAAATCCAAGTTTAGTTAAATTATGATTTAGTGCAATGTGAATTATCAACATAAAACGAGGTTGGAGTACTGAAATTGCTATTGGTTTTCTTGACTAATATTTTTAAAGCTATAAAGTAAGGGTATGGAGCCTAAGGGCCTGCAAGTATTGTGAGATTTCAGCTCCCAATAATTTCATTATATAGCTAGTCAGATAGCTATGCCTGTAGTTTAGTCCATATCTATGCATTTCAAACATACATGCTTGCTCTGGTTTGTATACATCAGGTATGTCTCCCAGCTGCTTTCTCCTTGTTTTGATGTTTTAAAATACAAGAATTGTTAAGGTTAGGGAAAGGAAAGGAAAATTACTTTAGCTCAAGTTAAAGGAACCACAGCAGAAAAAGCTGGGAGAAAAAATAAGGAAAGCAAATAAGAGGCTGCTGCTTCAGGAAATTGTTTCTAACAAATGAGTAAGTCTACGCAGAAAACTAAGTCTTAATTTTGTTTTCTGTTTGTGCTTGAGATTAATTTCTCTATACCAGCTCGGTAACTACTATTATCAACCTTGTGGAGTAAACCAGATAGGAATCACAACCAGTTGAACTGTTTACTGTAGAGCAGTGGTGAAATGTAAAATTTGTTAGTACCGGTTCTGTGGGCGTGGCTTGGTATGTGTGTGTGTGGGGTAATGAGACTGGGTGGGCGTGCCCACCTTTTTTTTTAACTTTTAAAAGTATTTTTTCACCTGAAGAAAAAATGCTTTTAAAAGTTTTTTTAAAAAAACCTCTGATGATCACGTAGCTCAGCTGGGCATGGGAGTGGGGTGGGGATTTTTGCTACCGGTTCTCCGAACCACCCACCGCCATCGTTACCGGATCAGGCGATTCGGTCCAAACTGGGAGCATTTCACCCCTGCTGTAAAGCTATATTGACATAATTTTGCAGATATGAAAGTACAATTCAATCACTCTCCTTATTCTTTACAGCGCAAGTAGGTATATAGGGATGGATATTTCTGAGCCTTTTCCTATGCCTACTGTGCTGTCTCTTTTTTTTTTTTTTTTAAATACTTTATTGAATTTTCCAATTTTTTAAAAAGACAATGTACAATCACAATCTTGATCCGAGGTGCAATGTTTACACATTTCATAGATCAAACATTAAGTGAATTTCATCCATAGCTATACAATATACAGTTCTATACAATTCTCTACATTTCTATACAATTAAGTCCATTTCGGGTGTCTAACAAATCGTAGCCTATTATCATATTTTTATCCTATTCTTTAACCAGTTATACCAAATTCCCCATATTTCATAGTACTTGAAGTTCTCTTCATTTTTTAGCTCGCTCGTCAATTTAGCCATCTCTGCGCACTCTAGAATTTTATTTATTAATGCTTCTTCAGAGGGGGTAGAGTTGGATTTCCAGAGTTTCGCAAAGGCTAATCTAGCCGCAGTAATAATTTGAATTGCCAATTGGGTTTTATTGTTGTCGAGACCATCTTCAATCATACCTAGGAGGAAGGATTCCGGGGCCAGGGCTTTCTCTTGTCCCATTATTTCCGAGAGCCAGAGTCGGATCTTTAACCAAAACTTTTTGGTCTCAGGGCAAGTCCACCACAGATGGTAAAAGGTGCCGACCGTCTTTCCACATTTCCAACATAAAGCAGAAGAATTTGGAAATATTTTGGCCAGCCTGTCTGGGGCTAGGTACCACCTATGCAGCATTTTGTAGTGATTTTCCCTGAATGTTACCGATTTCGTTATTTTGAGATTTCTGTTCCAAGCTATCTCCCAGTCATTGAAATTAAGGCCATATCCTAAATTTTTCTCCCAAATGCTTAGCTGATTTTTAGCTATCTTCTCAGCTCTATCCTCATCTAATATAAAGTTATAGATTTTCGATAGCATTTTCTTATCTGGTCCCCAAATAATTTTGTCAAAATATCCATATTTCATTTCAATACCACGTTTATCTCTATCTTCTTGAAATCTAGACTTAATCTGAAGATATTTCCACCAATCCAGAATATTATTTTGGGTTTACTGTGCTGTCTCTTATCTAACCATTGTCTCTTTTGCCTGTTCTCCCAAGGCCTTTTCCACAAGCCATTAACAGTTTTTAATCTCAGATAAAAATTTCTTTACAGTAGGGTTGCCCCTAAGTAGGAGCAGCCTAGCAACACTTGTCTATCCAGAACTGTATATTTTTTCATGGTAGATTAAGATGTTATATTCTTTTGCTTGAACAATTGTATTTTTAATCTCTTCCACCACTCATTTTGCATGATAGTACTGACAGTTAAAAATGTTCATGTTCTCTTTTATTTTTGAAAAATGAAGCTTGAGTCTATTTATCTCTTGTGAGATTGGTTTATCTCCTAAAATGAAAGAGAAGAAAGCAGGATTTTGCTAGCTATACAACTAATGCTAAAAGGCCAGAAGGTGGTGCTAGAAAATCTATTTTTTTCTTTTCATTTTAATTTCCTGGAAAAGCAATGAAGCTTGTGGGAGTTTTATCTCTCTCATACACTGTGGCTCAGAGGAAGATACTGGGTGAAGGGGTCCCCTGGAAAACAGATGGTGGTAGCAGGTATACCAATCCACCACACCAAGGCAGGAAGCAGAGATGGGGTTCATAAAGCCATTAGGTTTCCAAGAGAATTAATTTTCCAATTAAATAATGTAATTCTAGTTTCAAAGTGTATTAAATGCAAAATATTTTATCTGTACTTGCCAAAGAACTTTTGGAATCAGTATTCTTTCATAGGCTTATGAATGATATATTTAGTTTCTTTCCTGTCACATGCTGAAGCACTTACTGATTCAAGTCATTTTGTCATCTTTAATACGAATATTCTCAGTGACCCATCAAGCTCCTCAGGGTGTTACAGATAGCAAATTTGAGCTGTTGTAATGCTACGTTTGTGAAAATTCTAGTCTTTCTATCTCCAGAATAACCATTATTTATACTTTTTATTTTGATGGTAAGGTGGCAGGTATTAAATATCAGGATTTTAAAATATGTATATAGTTGCTATTAAATAAGCAGGATGAAGTTTTGGGGGGATTTTTTTCTATGGTTCAAATGTTATCTAGTCATTCTGCAAACTACATGGCACCGATAACAGCTTTAGCAGAAAAGTGACAGGCAAGGTAGATTTATGCAAAAGGCCCAGCTGCGGCTGCTACCCGTTCTTCAAGCGACACCCAGATTACTAAGCAGCTCTGCTTGAGGAAAGCAGCCCCATCATTAGCCAAAGCTGGAATATTTGGAATTGGAAGGCTTTACATACAAAGTCATTCTGTCTTGCTGAAATTGACTCTAAAATAGTTCATCACCATCCAGACCCTCATAGCTTCCAGATACCAGGAGAATACCTCCACAATATCTCCTGTTCAGCCAGATGTTAAAATACACAGTTTGGTATCAAGTACATACTAATGATACCATCAACCATGGTATTCTCCTGGGGCAGCTTCAGGGGATGGGAGTGGGAGGCCTTGTGATATCTTGGTTCACTTCCTCAGCTCTCAGTGTTGAAAGGAGGGAAGAGATCCAACCTTTGCCCACTGCTTTTGAGGTTCTGAAGGGCTCGGTACTGTCTTCGCTCCTGTTCAACATTTATATGAAGCCGCTGGGTGAGATCATCTGTCACCATGGACTGAGATATCACCAATATGCTGATGATACTCAGCTGTATGTCTTGGCCCGTTGTGAGTTAACTGATGCCATGTCCTCACTCTGACAGTGCCTGGAGGCTGTTAGGGGCTGGATGGGGGGGCAATGGGTTGAAACTAAACCCTTGCAAGACCGAGTGGCTCTGGGTTTGGGGTTCATTGGCTCAGGAAGAATTACCACCTTTGGTCTTGGATGGGGTGGCACTACCCCAAATAGACCCTGTGCCTAATCTAGGAGTTTTTCTAGATTCATGATTCCTGCTCAAAGAGCAGAATGGTGGTCGTGGCCAGGCGGGCCTTTGTGCAACTGCGGATTGTGTGCCAGTTACGCCCTTTCCTGAAGCAGCAGTCTCTACTCAGTCACTCATGCCCTAGTCACTTCCCGTCTTGACTATTGCAATGCGCTCTACATGGGGCTGCCCTTGAAGAACATCTGGAAGCTCCAGTTGGGGCAAAATGCAGCGGCCCACATGGTTTTCTGCAGATCCCGGTGTGCACATGTATCACCTCTCTTGCGGGAGCTGCATTGGTTGCTGATTTGCTTCCAGGTGCAATTTATTTTATTTTATTTATTTATTTTGTCACATTTCTATGCCGCCCAACTCCCAAGGGACTCTTGCTTGTTATCACCTTTAAAGCTCTTCATTGGTTGAGACCAGGTTATCTGAGGGACCATCTCTTGCTGGTCACATCTACCCAACCCATCAGAGCGGGGAGGCAGGGAATGTTGCGGGTCCCATCCCCGAGAGAGATACACCTGTAGAACCC